CTCCATTCTTTGTTTCATTTGTAGCAGGTTTATTTGATTCTATGCTTTGTGGTTGTTGAATATGTTGTGGAGGCGGAGGATTTCGTTGATTGTTTTGCTGTTGTGAATACTGTGGTGGTGGTACATTAGGATTTTGTAGAGTCACAGAAACAGTATTTGTCTGATCTTTTAGACTGACGCTAACCATGGTGCCTAAACAAAAAAACTCAATTAATTTTCTAATCATGCAAATAATGTATTAATATGTTATAATATACCGTTTAAAATACCATTCGTATTATGTGCATTCATGCCCATCAACATTGGTTGCCTTGGATTTCCATGAGGTGGACCAGGATGTTGCATATGATGAATATGTTGTTGATGGGGGGGCATGGACAGTATTTGTTGATGTGGATTCCGATGCGATAACGGATGCTGAGGCTGATGTAAAGGGGCCATATTTGCCTGTTGCATAGGTCGCATCGGACCACCCATTCTAATAAAACATTAAATAAAACAAATATAAATATATTAATTTTCATTTTGAATAACAATATAAATATATTTATAAATAATATAAATATATAATAATTATAATTTATAAATAATATAAATGTTATATAATTATTATATATTGTTACATAAAATAACTTAACTATATAACTATAAATCTAAATATATGTTATATATTTATATGTAAATTATAAAAAAAAAATTTCATATATTACAATAATTATAACAAACCTATTATGATCTCGAAGTTGGTTTTGCATTGCGTGATGTTGATGGCGTAACATCATGTAAAAAAAGTGATGCAAAACCTAAAATTAATAAAAATATTAATAAAAATAAGTGAGATATTATAAAAAACTTATTGAAAAAAAAACTTATTTAAAAAAGTTTAGATTCTATTATAATTTGATATATTAAAATTTATAATGAAATTTTTTTGTAATGAACATTTTAATAAAAAAAAAATGTTAATTTATTAATATAATAAATATTAAATATTGTAAGATAATTTATATTTAAATAATAAAAATATGATTTTTAACAAAATATTTTGTTATTTATGTTAAATCAATATATTTTTAAAAATTGACAATTTTAAAAACAATAACTAAATTACATATGTATTTGACAGTAGTTACAAACATACATCATATCATGCATATTATGAATTGAATTTAAATAATTCATTTGTAATTAGTAGGTATAACAACTTAATCATAGAAGAAGAATTTCTATTCTCTAAATGAACTAGTCAATAGATAATGGGCTTGGCCCGGCTATTTGGCAGCGGAACTATGCGGTTGAATTTTCTTACCGAAGTTTGTTCTATTTCACGAAAATTTTCAGATTATTCAACAGCGAAATTTCCTGCGAAACAGATCTGCCACTTAAGGGAACACTGCCAGGCCCTTTATGCGGCTATTGGCAAACAGTAAAGAAAATCGTCTGTAGACTAAAATGCGGCCATTTTGATGTGAGCCTCTCGGCCACCGTCTCTCATCCCTTCCAAAGGATATCCTACTTGCCGATTTTTTTAAAAGTCTACAATATCGATTATAATTATCGATACTTCTCGTTTCTTTAAATTATAAGTTTTTAATCATTTTTGCTTATTATTTATTGTTATAATTCGTGAATTACAATAATAAATAAATATTTTTATTCAATACATTATTAATTTATTCAATCATTCTTTACTATCAATAAAGTTTTTTAAAAATAGTATAAAGATAATGTCATATCATAAATTCAAATTTTAAAATCAAAATAACGGAAATAATGATTACTTCCATATTATTAATTGAGATTTAATCAATGCTATTATTAATATGTATATATATTTAAATTTAATTAATATTTCAGGAGAAAATAAATTTAATAATAAAGTCAGTTTCATATGTTTACTAATTTCATGTAAAACAGCATAATTAAATACTTCAAATGAGAATGCTTCATATAGAAATATCAGAATTTTATGTATATATCTTTTCTATTATAAATATATGATCTATTCATTTACCAAATATAATAATGACTATTACCTTTTTTTAAATATTTTTTTAAAACAAATGTTAAAATATTATAATATCGATGTTTTTTTTATTGAATAAAATTGAATAATGTGACATGTATATAATATATACTATAAATTTTGATTGAATATACAATAAATTTTTATTTTTAAATAATATGAAAAGAACTTATGTAATTATTCAATATATAAAATAAGATTGTGTAAAATATAAATTGTTTAATTAATAATTATTTAAAATAAAATTTAATTGATCCTTTTACAAAAAGTCATCTATATATCTTTGTGATGTATAAACTACAAGTTTTTGTATTTTTTTTATATAAATTATTCTTATTTATTTTATTTTAAATTGAATAAAATTTAAATTTATAATATTATTAATAATTATAGTTTAGAATTTATTATTTAATATGATTACGTGAATATGTAAACACAACCTAAATATTCTATAATTTTTTTTACATATTTTAAATATTTAAAAATGAATTTTATATGTAAATAAATAATTTTTATAAGATATTTAATTTATTATACTTAATTTAAATGAAAATAATAGACCAAATAATATGTTTTAATTTTTTCGATTTATTTTTTTAAACTTCATATTTCTTTATCTTTAAATATAAACGTAAAAATGAAACAATTATTCCAATATATATTTTGTTAATAATAATCATTCATATATGCTTATTTACAATAATATTTTACAATAACAGATATATTAATATGTTGGATACAATGAAAAGATAAATAATTAAATATATTTTGAAAAATATAATAAAAAAAAAATATATATATATATATATATATATATTATAAATATAAAATATTACAATATGAATTTGAGTAAAATTATCTTAATTTAATGGACTGTAAGGGCATAAAGAATTATGAACACTAATATTTTTCTAGTCTTTTCTTTCAAAGTATATAATTTAGTCTTTTTTTTTAATGTGCAAAAGTATTAAATTTATAATCTTATATTTTTTCACAAATTCATTTTTTGTGAAAAAAATTACAAACAAATATTTGTTTACAAACTTACAAGATGCATTATCTTAATCAAAATAGTACACAGTATTTTTTTACAGTTTTGACATTTATAATTATCTTCAATTAATCTGTTTCAATAAATATTGATACATTAAAAAATTACAATTTTTTAAACAAAAATTTCATAATTATATTATTTATTCTATTATAGTTTTTCTTATCAACTACTAATTCATTATAGAATCGCACTTTGTGTTATATTCATTCAACTTTCTTATTAATTTCTCTTTGGAGCCAATAAGCGTGTAGCATCATTGTCTTCAAGACTCAGCTAAGCTCCATTATTATAAAATAATTTATTAAACATTTAACGGTTTTAATTAATAAATACTATTTGAAATACAATTTCACTACTAAATTTACAAAGAGCAGAATATAGATATTTAGTGTCCCTGTAAAAAATTTCAGGTTGATTATCTTACTTAAAAAATATTATTTAAATATAAAAGGGCAATAATTATAATCTTCATATCAAAATGTATTTGGAAAATAAAAAAACAAACCCTTTTATATTTAAATTTGATTAATTCATTTAGTGATATAGATGATATGTTGTAATATATTAATATATCTCATAAAAATTCTTTCTATTTTCATATAAATAATGGCGATGATTAAAAAGTAGTTGAAATTGCTTTATATATTTTTAGTATATATATGATTCATGATTTAATTAATTCATCAATAGGTAAGATAATCTTCCTGATTATTTAATTTAGGACAATCTACTTAATATTTGGTCAAATCACTATTATTCCTTATAGATAGCAACAAGTGATTTTGACATTAATTATTTATATAAATTATTATTATTATAATTTTTTAACTCACTTCTATTCAATATAAAAGAATTATGAAATATAATAATAAAATTTATTTATGTTATTTTAAATGTAAGTGATTTTTCTTCTTTTTAAGTTTTCTTAATGCATTGTTTATATTTTATAATAATAACTAAAACAAAATTATTGAAGTGAGTTAAAAATAAATACAATTTTTTTATGCTAATTTTCAATAGCATTAGGCACTGTCAACCCTTCACTGAAAATATTTTAGTAAATTCAGTTCTTGATAAAATTAGAAAATCCAATTCTCTTATGATAATTTTCACTCACAAACAACATGCATTCAATATAAAAAAAAATATTTATCATGATGAAACAATTTCTATTTTCATAATATTTTAATTTAACAAATTACATGATAAAATAGTATATTTTTTCTACTTACAAAATTTGAATGTTTACAACTTCTTTCTAAACAGAAGATATGTATTAAATTTTTAAATTTATTTTTTCATTTTATAAAAAACAGATTCAAAGTTTAATTTTTATAATATTAACAACATTCATAACTAAACTTACAAATCATGTTATACTTTAATAAATTTACTTTTTATCTACATTTATATGCTAAATCACAATACTGTACACTAAAATTTTTGTAAAAAAAAAAGAAAAGAAAAACATAATTAAAGAAAACATTTCTGTTTTAATTTATTAAAAATCTTAGTAAAGTTGGCAGAATTATGTTACTCGATTGTTGAAAGTTGTACTTTTTCAGGATACTATATTTACATCAATTTATTTAAAAAGTAGCAGAATTTAGAAATTGAGCTATATATATAGCAATTATGTGTATATGTATATATACATATATACATATATATACATATACATACAATTGCTAATTATTATTCCCAAGAGTATCTCAAATGCCTGCATTCGAGATTGAAGATTTATATAAGTTGCTTTTTTTTATGGAAAAAAGATATAATAGAATTTTCTATAAATAATATATTTTTCTATAATCAAATATCAAAACCAAGAATTAAAAAATTATCATACCTTATATTACACATTGGCAATTATTTTATAATCAATTTATATTAAAGATATTAAATAATTAAATAGAAAAATATTAAATATAAAATTATGAGTATTCAATAAACGAATATATACGAGATTTTTTATATTAGAGATATGAACCATAAAAATCATATGTTTATGAATTTATTAGATTTTTGTTGAGAAAATTTTATTGTCGCAACACACATTTTCTGATTTTTCACAAAAAATGAAACATATTTCTACCAACTGTACAGTAACAAAACGAGAAAAAACGAGAAAAAAGGAGTATGAAAATCATATCTCCTTGGTTGACAGAATGCTATTTTGTTTCATTAGATTTAACAATTATTATCACTTCGCGCCTTGGCAACATACATTCTTAAACACTAATACGTTCATCGCTTTATAGATGTACGACTTGCTTTTTATATCTTGTATCCCTTTTATACTTTCTGCATTATTCAATGAATTCTTATTTTTGTTATCAAAATAATGCCCCAATTAACTTATTTTTGTGGCACCATTGTGATTTACTTTATGATTTACAGTCCAGTTATCTTCTTGTACAGTTTTCAAATATTCTTCTAATAATGATGCCAAATTACGTCTTTTAAATCGTAATGATTCTTTTACAATATCTCGCAAAAATGCAAGTCGTATATCTAGAGTTCCTTGAATTTGGTGTAAATGTGAAAATAGTGTTGCATAATCTGAAACAAGATTATAATTATTGATATTGATTGTCTTATATAAATTTCTTTTTTCATAGATATATAGATATATTAAAAAAAATAACGGAAATATCCATTTCAACTTACTTGTACCTCTTCTTCGTACTTCTTTGTATACAAGTTCTCGAACAGACAAATTATGCCTTCTAATATCTTCCAATTCTTTTTTTGTTAAAACTTTATCTTTTTCTATTTTTTCGTGTTTTTCTTCAACATGATTAGACAATCGTTCATCAATCAAATTTTCAACTTTCACACTATTTTCAACACAATCATTAGGAGGTAGTTTGTTACACTCATTCTTAACACTTTCTGGCTTTTCAGTTTTCACTTCGCTTTTAGATGTATCAACATTATTAACTATCGGTGTTAAAGTTGGTGGTGCATCCATGTGATTATTAGTATGTTCTACTGGAATTGGTTCAAAAACTGGTATCGTTGGCATTTCTGCAAGGCCATTTACTAATTTTTCTGGCGAATTTACATATGACATATTTGATCCAGTAGATGAGTTCAATGCATTCGATGAAACTGAATTTGAGTCGGCAGTCGGAGTTACTTGATTTTTCGTATCATCAACCCATGGTATCGGCGAACTTGGTGGGGTATTCGTAGGTGTATATGACGGCCTCCGTATTATTACATCTTTAGGAATTGGACCTGGTTTACGTTTATTTGGTGGTGGTTTTGAAGTTAACGATCCTCCTCCATCTGATGTAGGTAAAGTACGTTTAAGACCGCCTTTAGAAGTTGAAGATGTTGCTCCAACCATATCAATATCTGCTTCATCTACCATCATTCTTTTATCTATTTTGAATGGATTACCTAAAATTTAATCATAAAAAATTAGATAGTCCTTCAATATAAATTTATAATAATATATATATTATATTTTTTTAAATTAAAATAATTAATTAATTTTCTAAGTAATTACCAAACATATGTTGTCTAACTGGAGCACTTTCTATTTCTCTTAATGGTGGAGTCATACGTTTCAAATATTCTTGATAATTTCCCATTTGTGCCAATGGCATTGAATGAACATAATCATCATCAAGTAACTTTGTGTGTAATAATCCAGGTTGTAGAAAATTAGCACGCATTCTAACAACTTGATCTAACAGAGATTTTCGCGGAACATCAAACGCGTTCCTATAGCTATGCGCTCCACGTTGTTGGTTTCTAACTAATCCAACTACAAAACCACCAAACTCATTTAATTGATCCCTCAATCCTGTAAATTTATCTTGTAATAATGGATGTGATACCTGTTAAATTGGAAAATAAGATTAATTATATATTTTTATTATAAATGATAATTTTGATAGATAGAAAATATTTACCAAATCTTTTTTTAATGGAGTTCTAGGAGTAACTCTTACTCCCTCTGTTACTGTTGTTGTACTACCATTTACTAAATTTTTTGTCATATTGGCAGTAGCAAGTTGTTTGGAAAGAACCTCATTACAAAGTCTATCAAATTCAATTTTAGCTTGATTTTTTAATCGTTTTAAATAATTTAAGACACTATACGATAAAGAATTATCCATATTATCGGGTATTAATGTTTGTGCTAATGGTGCAGGTGCACCCATTCTAGTTAAAGCTCTCCTAAGAGACTGTAAATTAAAAATAAAATTATTCAAATTTATTAATAAAAAAATTAAATATTTTGATAATAAATTAAGAACTTACCGCTGCATAATAAGTAGGCATTGTTCTCATGTAATTCTGAAATTGTGTTCGCCATTCATTTGTTGGTTTCAATCTATGTACTTTAAACAATTCTTCCAATAAAGGTAAAAGTACTGGATAGTTATAAGGCATAACAAATAAATTTACACATGTTAAATTAGTACTTGCTTTTAAATACCCAAATGGATGACCAACATCACTTGATTTATAAGAATTAGCCACAAAAACTTGCCAACAAATTGTTGGTTGTTTTCTAGCCAATATATATTGTGTCAATGGACTTGGTTCTAATTCATATTTATCAAATGGAAGATTTTCTATTACCATAGGCTCTTGACTGGTACAAGTAAATTTTACATTTGGATGCGCTGATCTAGGTGGTAAAGAACTAGCGCTCAAATCAGGCCAAAAACTTTCAGGAATTGGCCAAAATCCAACTGCAAAACCTTTCTGAGCAGATCGTGGAACATAAATCAGTCTTCTGCAAGAATGCCATGCAGTATTTCCTGGTACTGTTGGATTAGGAGGATACGTTCGAGTTCCGTTCGTTGCAATATTTTCATCTTCATTTTCATCATCGTCTGCGTGTTGCGTTTCGTTATTTAATGGCGGAGGATCTGGACCAATTTTTTCAAAATTTATTACTACGCCAGATTGAACTTTTTGTACCAAAGAATCTATACATTGCATCATCATTCTAAAAGATGTTATACAATATGAACGACCTATAATAAATAATAAATTTTTTATATCAGTATATTTTTATAAACAAATAGAATAAATTATATAATGAAAATACTTGTTTCTACCTCCAGTAACTTCACACATAGCATCAATTGGAGATGAATCACTTGCCACTAATCCTGTATCTCTCTCAACAGCTGGAGTTCCAGATAAGCGAAGTACCAAAGAAAATAATCTTTGATCCCATCTGAATGGTTCTTTTGTAAGCTCAGATCCAGGTATGGGAGAATGCATTGGCAATGTGAACTACAACAGTAATTTCCATAATTGTTTAACCATTTTTTTCAAAAAAAAAATTAAAAGATTACTTTTATTTTATAATTAGTTATAAAAGTTACATCTTGATTAACTCCACTATTAGTTGTATATTTTCCTCCATCTGTAATCACAACAATTACTGATGGTTCTAAATAAAAAGGACATCTCCCCTGTCCATATGTGTCTATTCCAGTTTGCATTCGATTTATATTCAAAACATCCAAAGCATGTTTCAAAGCAGCACCTAATGTTGTCAGTCCAACACATTGTAAATTTTTAAGCTCATTCATAAAAGTAGCTAAATTTTCTTTCCATCCAGCCTAGAAGAATAAAAATATTTGTTTAGTTATTTAAAAGCAAGAATAAAAATCATTATTTCTTATTTTTTATTTAGAAAATTAATACTAATCTTAAGTACATTTGTTTTTCAATATAAATAATTATTGAAAATTATAAGAAAGATAATATTTTATTGAAATATTATTCATATTAACAAAATTTTACAAAATGAAATTATACAATAATGGAGGAGAAGATAGACTGTAATAATAAAATTCTCTATATGATATTATATATTTACATAATCAAGAATACTTAATTATAATTATAATATTTGTTTATTTTATTGATAATTTCCTTAATTTTTATTTTATCAAAAATATTAAATTATATTAATTTTTAATTCATTGCAATTCTTTATTATCTCAGGGTCTATTGTTATATGAAAAATTTATTTTATTTCTTTATCATTATTAAATTGGCAATATCTTAATTCTTATAACAATTTTCAATTTAATGGATTATTCTTAACTCATTATATTCAATTTTGCAAAAAAAATTTCTTTAATTCTCTTTCAACTTATAAATTTAACATAATATTAAAATTAAATAACATGTAATTAAATCAAAATATTGAAAAAAAGAAATTAATGAAGAAATTTATTTTAAAATAAAAATAACGAAAAATAATATAACATATTTTTAAATTTTATAAATTTAAAAATAAAAGCAAATAAATTTATCTTATTAAAGAAATTGTATATTTTAATTTCATAAATTTGGCGCGCACAAAACCATGAAAACCTCGTGGGTAGGTTCCCCCCACCTACGTATTGCTACCCACAATGCTGCTCTTCCGTAACCGAGGACGGAAGATACGGCAAGTGCACGCTGCACTTTGCTGCCTTTTTATTGAATATCAATTATTCAATCGAAGGGAGCTAATAACACAACAATTTTACATAAATAATGATAACATATGACAATGAATTATGAATATAATTAAAAATTGAAAAGATATTTAAAAAAAAAACAGCATTAAAGAAAACTTATACATGGGATTCTATACATAATAACTAACATAGAATAAATGTATGCGTGTAAGAGATAGAGATCTTAGAAATAAGAGAAAAGGAAAAGGACAATAAATGCAAGATGCGAATGTATAAAAGCAAGTGAAATATAAAGAAAACATACCTTAATATTCTGAGGCGGATCTTCGAAGGTCAGAAGCATGTAACGATCTCCACGACTCTCTGGTGATCTTTGTCTTACCTAAAAAAAAGAGAAAGATTAAGTAATTAAGAAATGAATTAAAGGGAAATAAAAAAATATGTTTTACATGTTGTTCTTTTTAGTAATAATACAAACTAATGATTAGCTAGTAACCACAATTGAATTTCCCGGTCGGGAAAGCTGTTTGACTAGCGTACCTTCACGAAAGTCTCCACGGCGCTCTTGGCTACATCTAAAAGCGTGGGTCGCCCGCCCAAATATGCCCTCTGATTCATGGAGGCCGACGTGTCGATCAAAAAGACTATTATGGTCATCTTCGCGAGTCGAACCCGCTCGTTCTCGAGGTCGTAACTGCGGCCCGAGACCTCCCGTAGTCAGAACTAGCTAGCTAAGAGCTCTACGACGGCGTGGCGCATAGCTGCTTCGACCATTGAACGCTCCCGAATACGCTCTCCGAAAAACTTCTTTTATCGTAACGGCGCCCGCTTCGCTCTTACTCTCTTTCGATCTCTCTCTTTCTTTTCTTTCTACTTCTTTTTTCCTCTTCCTATATATATATGTATGTATATATATACATATATATAGATGTAGTATATATATATATATATATATATACTATGTGTATACGTATGTGTATGTATATATGTATTAATATATATACATATATATGTTTTTTCTCTTTTTCTACACCGAACTGAATCTACTGCTACGTCGCGCGCTTCTGGTGCCTGGTGAACAGCAGCAGAGGATAGTAAGTAGCTGAAACGCAGACACGAGAACGCAAGTCGTGAATCGGACAAGTCCGTCTGCCAGTCTGTCCGCTTGTTCTCGTTCGTTCCGTTCCTCTCTTCTTTTCCTATTCTCACCCTTTCTTTATCTTTCTCTTCTTTTCTTTATCTTTCTTTCCTTGCTTGGTATCCTTTGTCTTCTCACGAAAAGTTTCTATCGTTTTCAATCCTTCATCTTTTTCTTACACCGGTATATACATTTATCCTTCTTTACCTATCGTTCTTTCTTACTCTTTCAATTTAATGAGAACAAACTTAACCTTCTCTCTCGACGTTTCATTCGTCTCTGTTGACGGTAGTTTCATCCTGCTCGTGGTTACATTGCGTCGTGAACCACGTGATCTTATAGAGTTTCTTTCTATTGGTCAATCCCTCTCTACCTAGTTTTCGTTTCTGCTGCTGAAATGCATCGCGTTTCTACGTTGTGTGCGTACATGTCGAGATGCTGTTTACTTCTGTGAATTCTCGGTTTCTATACATTTTATATATTCACGATCTTTACAACGAAGTAAAGCTAGGTTTAACTTTAATTTGTCAGTGGATAGATATGTATATACAAGATTGAAGATAATGTTACAATTAATAAGTAACCTATTTATTTTATTTCATTAGCAAAATTTTACGCTATTTTGAATGTTTCTTATTTTGTTACAATTGATATATTGTGTTGCATAATGTATATAAATATTATATATTGTAATATATTGTAATAAATTTTGTTTTAATTAAATCAAATAAATTAATGCATAGTATGTTTACATGACATAGGAAAGATATGAGCAGATAGTTATATATAGTTATTTAATGATATATAAAAAATGTATTGTATATGTTATAAAGAAAATAAATTACGAATTTTATGAAATTATACATATATTGAAAAATTTTTCATTTATTCATTTGCATTTTCTTGTTGCATTTTAATATTCTAATGTTTTATATAATTTGCATTTTAATAATTTAATGTTTTATGTAATTTGCATTTTAATGTTTAATGAATATCATATAATAATGTGAATTATGATTTTTAATCTTAATTTGCATTTCGTCATATACATAAAATTTAATGAACATAACTTATCTGATTTAAGGAAATAACCAATCACAAACTTGGTATAAACTGTGATATGGCGGGTTTTTAATACTAAATCAACGCATTATATCGAATGTGCTTTACGAATATATAATGTGAGAAATTTGTGTTGCGTAGTGTGAATTAATAATTATTAACTTTGAAAGTTGTTATAAGAAATTTACAAAAAAATTATTCTTTAATATCATATAATATAAATAAAATTTTATGAAAATATGGAAGAATTGAATCCATTTAAACGTAGGAAAGTTCTTGATCTTTTAAAAAAATTTGAAGATAATAGAAAAAATGTAAATTTTTATATTATTATTCTTTTTTAATTAATTACATATTTTTTTTTTAAACATTTTATTATTTTTCAATGGATTTTAGACATCTGAATCTATCATGACATTTAAGTTTAATAAAAAACGTATTAAACGTTTAAGTAATTTAAATGATATCAAGGAAAATTGTAATGGTATTTTATATTGGATGTTTCGCGATATTAGGATACAAGGTATATATGCTACATGTAATAGTATTTTCAGTATTAAAAAGAATTCTAAATATTTTTAGATAATTGGGCATTACTTTTTGCTCAAAAAACAGCTTTAAAAAATAATGTACCACTTCATATATGTTTTTGCATAATGTCAAACTTTCTTAATGCTTCTATAAGATATTATAAATTTCTTCTGAAAGGATTAGAAGAAATTGAAAAAGAATGTAAAAAATTAAATATAAATTTTCATCTTTTATATGGTGAACCAAATATAAGTATTCTTAAATTTATAAAAATATATAATATGGGAGCTGTTATTACAGATTTTTATCCATTAAAATTACCTATGTTGTGGATTGATAATGTGAAAAAAAATCTTCCTAAAGATGTTCCTATTTGTCAAGTAAATATTATTCTAATTATTACAATTATATAATTAGTAGTTTTTAATATATCTATATCTTTTAAAGGTAGATGCTCATAATATTGTGCCTTGTTGGTATGCATCATCAAAGCAAGAATTTGCTGCTAAAACAATTAGAAATAAAATAAATACAAAACTAGAGGAATTTTTAACAGAATTTCCACCTGTTATAAAACATCCACATATAACAAAAGAAAAGTTTGAAAAAAATAATTGGAAAATAGCTTTACAAAATGTAGAAGTAGACAAGTCAGTAAAAGAAATTACATGGGCTAAGCCAGGATATAGAAATGGTATTAAGGAACTTGAAAATTTTTTACAGAATCGTTTAGAAAAATATGGAGATGAACGTAATAATCCTTTATCAAATACCATCAGCAATTTATCACCCTGGTTTCATTTTGGCATGATCTCAGTACAACGTTGTATTTTGGAAATAAAAGAGTATAAAAAATTATATAAAAAGTCAGTTGAGTCCTTTATGGAAGAAGCTATTATTAGAAAAGAACTTAGTGATAATTTTTGCTTTTATAATGAAAAATATGATCTGATTGAAGGTGCCTATCCTTGGGCTATAGAAACATTAAATAAGCATCGGTAATTCATTTTATTTATTATAAATTATATTATACATATTACTATTAAGATTTTATTACATATAGGAAAGATAAAAGAAAATATATATATTTTTTAAATCATTTGGAAAATTCAGAAACTCATGATGATTTGTGGAATGCATGTCAAAATCAAATGGTAACAATAGGAAAGATGCATGGGTTTTTAAGAATGTATTGGGCAAAGAAAATATTAGAATGGACTGAAACTCCTGAAATTGCTTTAAAATGGGCCAATTATTTAAATAATAAGTATAGTATAGATGGTTGTGATCCTAATGGTTATGTAGGTTGGTTTTATATTTATTATATTTTATATTAATTTTTATATTTTACTTATACATGAAGATTGTTTTACATTAAAAAATATGTTTTATTGGTTTTTTATAGGTTGTATGTGGTCTATCTGTGGTGTCCATGATCATGGTTGGCCAGAAAGAGATATATTTGGAAAAATTAGATACATGAATTATGAAGGTTGTAAACGAAAATTTAACATTGCTGAATTTGTTATGAAATGGGGAAAAAGGAAAGAAAACTAATGAATTTATATAAAAATATAATTGTTAATTTTTATATTTATTATTTATTTTATATTTATTATTTATATTATATTATAAACTATTTATTAATATTTTGTATCATTACATAATAATGAAAGTGAAGCAGGAACTGCATCTAATGAAGTTAAAGAAAGTGCTGCAGCCTTTAAAGCTAAAGAAAGACAGCTAATTTCATCTAAATTTTTATGAATTCCATAAATTATTCCAGAAGTAAGACAATCACCACAACCACTTACATTAAATGTTTCATTTGGATTATCAGAAATATAAGATAAAGGAGGATATAAACGAGAAGTGATGGGCATACTATGGACAATTAATTTACCTTCTTTATCATAAAAAGGATCATTTCCTAAGGCTTTACGAACAACCTATAACAAATTATTTTAATTATTAAATTTTATATTTACATTATTCAAAATTTGTTTACAATTAAATATTTACCAAGACTCCATGTGATCCTAATGTACATATAATCACTGGAATAAATTTAGCTACTTGCTCTGCAATTGCTTTTATTTCTTCTAAGTCCATAGTTAATTTATTATCAGGTATTGGTATGCCAAGGTATTTTCCAATGACTAATAGTTCATTTCTGTTTGGTGATATAAAATGCAAAACATTTTGCCATTGTAACTTTGCTTCAAATATTTTCATTGCTTTTTTTACATCCGTAGGTTCATACCAAACTAAAAAAACAAATGCTTTTAATTTTTGTCATTTAATTTATAAATAATATAATAATTAATCAATAATTTATAAGTGTATATATATATATCTAAAATTAAATTATACTAATAATTATTTAATACAATATATTATATGTATGTTTTATTATGATTTAGAAATAATAAAAACATTTTTTATATGTATATTTTTTTATTATAGAATAAATAAATTGCACAAAATAATTAGTATAATGTATATAATAATTAGTATAATTTTAAAATAATATTTAAATAATGGCGCTAAGATTAAATGTATTGTCTGCAATATGGAGCGCTGTTAAAGCATTAAAAATTCTTCATACAAATGGACATCTATTAACCTTTTATTTCATTGAGTATATCTTGGTATATTTATAGTAGATACCTAACCATACATTATAATTGAAATAAAAAAATAACATTTTTATTATTTATAAATATTAAATTAAAAGGATTATTTGTGATATTGTTGAATAAAAAACTAAATAGTAATGGGTAAAACTCGAAACGGAAAAGCAGCTGTTATTTGCACAGCAATTGCATTTCTTTTAATTGTAATTGCATTCACCACACCCAATTGGCTTGAAACAGACGGAAAATTGGAAAATCCAAAGTTTATAAAAATTGGTAATTTAATTAAAAATATTTTCATATTATTTATGTTATTATTATGTTATTTCATATTATTTTCATGCTATTTATATTGTCTTATAATATGTTTTTTGTTTTAGGTTTATGGCAAGTGTGCTTTAATGGATTTGAACATCCACATCACTTATATGACACTAAATTTTATGGTTGTTGGTGGGTGTTTGAAGAAGAATATTATATAATTCATGATATACTTTTGCCTAATTTTTTTGTTGCAACACAATTCTTTTTCACATTGTGTCTGACTTTATTATTAATAGGAGGTTTTTTAACCATATTATATACATGTTGCTCAAAGCACCATGATAAATATCAGTTACTACTATGGACAATTGGTGGAAACTTGGTATTAGGTGGAATATGTGGTATTATTGCAGTTATAATATTTGGTGCACGAGGTGATGGTAGAGATTGGATGCCTAATTGGGAACATAATGATATTAGCTGGTCTTATGCATTAGCTGTACTTGGTAGCTTTATTTTGGTTGTAGCAGGTATATTATTCTTAATCGAAGGTCGTAGACACAGAAAGAAACAAGAAAGAATATTAAATGAAGAACAAAAAACACATACAACTATTTAAATAATATCTTTATCAAAGAATGCAAATGAATGATCAATTATTTATGATATTGAAAATCTATACAGTTTTTTTGTAAGTTAAGATTATTTTATGTATCATTTACACATACTTTTTGAAGACTCTATATACTTTAATATTTATAGTGATTATTTTCAAAACATTATATAAAAAAATTCCTTTCAAACTTATAAATATATAATAACTTCTTGAGAAAAGTAGATAATAATTGAAAAAATATTTTATATATTTTATAATATGTTTCATATATAATATATACATATTGTGCATTTATTATTTTATAGAATAATTAATGATAATGAATCCGTCCATATAAATTGGAGATCTTATAAGAAAGTTAAGAGTTTGTAAATATAGTATTAATTATCTAATTTTAATTTTAATTGTATGACCTCAATATAAACAAATATTTTATACATTTGTTGGATTATTTTACATTGGAAATTGTATGAAAAGTTAAAAGAAATAAAATAACTTGTTTAAAAGATTTTTTATTTCTTTTTTTATATTTATTTAATTTTTTTTTATAAAAACATTTCTTTGTTATTTTTTTTGTAGATATATTTGTAGATATGTTATTTTTTTTGATAAATAATTGTTTATCATTGAAATTTGAGAAAAATAATTATAAAGAATACACATGCTAAGATTGTGACCCATTTTATTATCGAGACAAATAATTCAACGTGAGTTACGATTAAGATTGCGTGCACGAAAATCGACATCAGGTATAAGTCGTTGACCTAGTTTAGTCCCTATTTTAATGAATAACTTTTATAATTTCACATACTGTATTGATTATATCTGAAAAATGTGTTAATATCAATTTCGTATTATCTTATAATATTTAATAATATTTTAGTAAATCATGTAAATTATAATTCAATTAATAAATTAATGCATAATATAATAAAACATATCAATTTTAAAATCTTGATTAAAGATGATAAATATGAATCAATAAATATATAAATTTATTATAAACTTATATCAGATTTTTTTGAAATTTTTTAGTTTTTTCAAAATATATATTTGAAAATTATATATACTTATAAATACTTATTAAAAATTCGAAAAAGATGAATTAAATATAAAACTTATAATTAATATATTAAGTAATAGAAAGCATACATATTAATATTTTTATTTCATTTATAATTTAATAATGGAAAAATAAAAATGAAATATCAATTACATAATGTTATTACAATAGAAAAAATAAAATCCCTCATAAATAATATTTTCCGTTTTAAAGATTCGCTAATCGCTTAATATTCTTAATATTCTTTTGAGCATTTTTTTTATTAAATATTTCATTAATATAAAATATTTTTAATTTTAAATGCAATTTTATAAAATATATTATTTAATGTATATTTATATTTATAAATGTTAAAATTATTATATATTGAAATTGTTAAAAGTTAATTGCTTATTATTTTTTAAGATAATAGTATATTTAATATTAAATCAATATATTAATATAAATATATTAACATTTTATAAACATTAATTTTTAATTTTAATTTTAAAGAATAATAGAGTAAAAAAGTATATAAAGATTAAAGTTTGGATTTAATAATAAATACCTATTTCATCAAAATTATTTTATATATCAATAATATTATATTAAATATTTTAACTACAAATTAAGAATTCTTTCTTTATAACTGCTATGTTATAGTTTATACTCGTGGGATAGTCATGATTTTACAAGGTTAGGTTAGATGGAAAGTTACATGGTCACAACTCAACGTAGCGTGTTTGGGTGTGGTTAATACCGTGAGATTTTTAAATCAGTAGATTTGAATTGTTTGTCATACGCATTGTGCTACATTGTGATTTTAGTATTCACAAAATAATTTTTTATCATGAAAAAAAGAAGTTTTTCCGGCAATATTGGTGTCGGTGTCTTTATCATTGCTTTTGTGTGTGTTTGCGTTGCATTTAGTACACCAGCATGGTTGGTGAGCGATTATCGTATTACTGGTGCGAAACTTGATAAATTAGGTCTTTGGACTCATTGCTTCAGATCACTTCCAAATCCTCAAGAAATGGACGCACCTAGACGCTTTTTCGTTGGTTGTAGATGGGTTTATGATCCCTTTACTGCAGGATATACTGATATTCTTGGTTTTCTTTTACCTCGTAAGTTTTCCTTTTTATTTTAATTATTTTAATTATATTTAATAAATGAAATAATATACTATCATAATTAATTGTTAATTTTTTATTTGTTACAGCATTTATGATAGCAACACAGTTTTTCTTTACTTTATGCTTCCTGTTAAGTCTTATATCATTTTTATTGATATTATTATTTACTCTGTGCAGTGATCCAGAACAAAAATATTATGTACAACTTATTATGATAATTGGATATCTACTGCTTATTGGTGGTATAAGTGGTGGATTGGCAGTAATTATATTTGCTTGTTTTGGGAATACTGAAGGTTGGATGCCTGGACATGCTAATAATTTTTTTGGTTGGTCTTTTATAATGGCAGTTGTGGGTAGTGTATTGACTATCATAACAGGTGCACTTTTTCTTGTTGAAGCAAATATTCAACGTAAGAAAAGAGAATATTTAAAAGAATCTCAAACAAGATTTCAGCTTGAATCTCGTACATGATTTAAAATAAGATATGCACAATATTTTAATACCAAAATTTTGTAATATTATTCCGTCCATATATTAGCTAATTTTTAATATTAGATTTTTTTATATTATTATTTTAGTACAAAGTATATTATAATATGATTATTAATAATAATAAGATTTGTATTTTTGTAAGTTTTATACATACATATTATGTAAAATTATAATTATACTAAATAGTATAGAAAAGAAAATCTTTATATATTAATTTTATTGTTTTTGTTATTTGTTAACATTTTTGAAATTTAAATACATAAAGTAAAATTAAATGAAAATATACTTAATTATTTTATCAAGGAATCTCAATTGTATGCAGTAAAAATTTTTTTTTATTATAAATATAGGAAATTGTTAAATATTGTATAAACTTCACAATGCAAATATCCACTGCCTATGGTGAATCTATATATAAAAAATTTATAATAAACATTTGTAATTTATATATATAAAAATATTAACATATCAATATGTAATAATTTAATTATCCGTCCTCGAATGTATATTGAGAAAAAAATTATTTTCAATTAAGTACAACATATTTTTTGTAATATATGTATTTTTCAATAAATGAAATTAAATATTCAAAGTAATTATTATTTACACATATAATATAATTTCAATAATTTGTTTAATAGGTTATTTGTACAAATATATAAATATTTTGAACTTTTGATTATAGATAGACATCTTATAGGATATCGTACATATTGTTGGCAGGACTGAAACGATGAAAGGTGTGGCAAGTTTACGATAAAGATTATTTTTGGACTTTATAAACAAAAGATTTATTGACGTATGCCAGTAATCTACAGTAATTAACAACAATAAACAATCGATATGTCTGTTAATAAGCAAGATTATCACCGTGCATCAAGTAAACAAAATTATTTTTTGTATTGTATTATTTAAAAAAACATTCATAACCTCTATTAATTAGTTATTCTTTTTTAGACGCGGTAGTATTTGGTGGAGTAATTATATATATTGCAGGATTATTGTTGGTTATGGCATTTACTAGGTAATTTTTGACATTGATTCTTAAAAAAATAGTATTTTCTAAATATTTTAATTGAATATTTTTTATAATTTTTATTATTTTATGAATTTTTATTTGATTAATTAATTCTAAAATCTAATTTTAGTCCATATTGGATTGAATCTTATGAAGAGACTTTTAGTAATTTTAAACATATGGGACTTTGGGAATATTGTTTTGAACAATTCAGATATCCATATTATCAATTTGATAAGCAATTTGATGGTTGTCATCATATATTCTCAGAAGAATATTACGTGATCAGAGAATGGTTATTACCAGGATGGTTAATGATTGTGCAAACATTTGTCACGCTTGCTTTATTATTTTCATTTTTTGCACAAGTTGTAATTGCATTGACTTTAGTTCGATGGCCTTTGAAATTTGTATTGAATTATGAATGGATTCTTTCAGCTAGTGCTTTCTCATGTTGTGCTATAGCAGGTAAATAGAAATTTTATATCAATTATATGAATAAAATTTATTTATTCAATTGGTCTTTAAATTTCAGGTACCGTATTATTTTTAGCAGTATCAATATTTGGTGGGCAATGTTGGCGCAGAGACTGGTTAATGTATCCAAATTTTAACCATTTGTCATGGTCATATGGTTTAGCAGTTATTTCATTTATGTTTCATTGGTTAGCTGCATTTTTTTTATATTTAGATGCAAAGGCTGGATATAGATTGCGCAAACAATCTAGTAATTTAGTGATGCAAATGCAGCCCAATTTACAAAGTCATCAAGGATTGGCAAGAGGAGGATATATATAATCTATTGTCATAACTGTTACATTAAAAAAGGATTTAGTCACAGAACAATTTTTAATAATATCAATAACAAGTTGATATTTAGTTGTATCTTTGTTATGTGACATTATCTTATACTTGAGATCTGCCTAATCTTAGCGATTAATTCCGTCCATTTTTTATAGTATTTTTATGAATGTATGTATTGAATATGTATATAAATTAAGAAAATTTCATATATTATAATAATCTAATAATCTTTACAATTTATTGAAATTAAAATATTACATATCCTTGTAATTATTTTTTATTGTATAATTTTATATAGAAAATATGTTTATATTATAAAAGTACGTTTGATATAACATTCATTATATCAAATTTTATCGTATGTTTTGAAATTATAATTTATACCATACAGGATTGAAATATTTTAATAAACAGATATATAGAGAAGAAAGATTTATATAAATATGACTTACCTGGAATTTTCGAATATGTTGCAAGCTCTAATAAGTATTGAATCGTATCTAAAGGTAGATTGCCATCAAGTACAATGATGCTTGAGTTCTCCACATATGATTGATATTTCTTCACTAGATTCGGGCTGATACTCGTAAACACTTCCATTTCACCAATTCCGAAACGACATTCACCTTTATAATCGATAATTGTAGTACATCTTAAATCATCAAGTATAAAAATATATATAAAAAAAATAATTAAAAATTATATATAAAAATGAATGTTATCTTTATATATATGATGTCAACGTTTCTTTAATGTATGAAAGAATGTATATATGAAAAAAGCAAAAAAATAACTTATGAAATAAAAATCAGAGACAAGTTGTTTCGAGTGATATTCACAGAGTCAATTACGATATCAGATCAACTATTTGCTAGCGGATAAATTATTAATATTAATGATGAATGTTTACTGTTTTTGGATTCAATACTGCATAAGCACAATCTTATCTTTTTTTTTTGCTCTATCAAATTATAATGATTGAATTTAGTATAATTCGAGTATAAAAAAAAATAAAATTATAATCAATGATTAAACAAATAATTGATCAAAAAATTATAAATAAATTATAAATAATTTTGTATATAATTTTGTAAATAAAAAAGATAAAAAAAAGAAACAATTATAATTATCGGTTGGGATAATTTATTAAAAAAAAAAAAAAAAATCGATGATCTAGCGTTTGCGGAAAATTAACGGAGAAAGGTAACGCGTACCTAGCTGTATTCATATTTGACAACTGCTCAACGGTCTGGCCACCATCTCCTAGACTTTTAATTATAGCTTTCCCAGGCTGGTCGTTACCTACAACGGATATTAACCGCGTAGCATTCAGACCAAGGCTGATCAAGGCGTTGGCGATATTTCGTCCGACCCCGCCGCAACTTTCTCGGCTTCTACCGGCATGCGTTCTACCATCGTCCTGAAAGAAAACGTCGATTATTGATCCAGAATATGGAAAAGATGCGCCGCCTCTAATCGCGCGTCGAATACTACGAGGCTCGATTGATCGATCGTCTTTGAATTCTACATAATAACGGTAAGCGATCAGTAATTAACCTTCTTGTTTATATTATTTTTTTTTCTATTTCTGTTAAAAATAATTTTTTTTAATTAAAAATCCTATAGCGATCCCATAAAGAGATAATATATGTATATATGAATAATAACAGATGCTTTTTGTAAAAGAACGAATTAGAAAAAAATATTTGAAAATATGCAAAAATGAATACAAGAATTATTTTAATAGATATATAAATGAAATAATAAAATTTAATTTTTTTCTTTGATATAGTTTTCGATTATTTTATAATACAGATATAAAGCTGTTTTCGATTATGACTATATCTATAATATATGCTGTCTCGAGACATCATGTTCAAGAGATTAATTTTTCTCTAGCTCGATGAATCAAGAATAAATATGGGAAAAGCGGGAAATTTTTCAAGGAGATCAGTATTTCGCGCCTTTCGCGCACATTTCTTTATCATAACCATTCAATTCGAGGATTTAATCTGAAGATACTTGCAAAATCACTGAACAGAAAGAGGACATCTTGAATCGATTATCATATTTATATTCGTTTGTGTTTCCTCCTATCTACATTTTCGCAAATTTTTCGCTTTTGTCTTTTCATTTTTTTAATTGGCTTTTTTTAATTGTTTTGTCTTTTTGTTTATCTTCTTTGCGCATCTTTTTCCACATTATTGTATTTTCATTTTTTTTTTTATTTTACGATTTATATTTCTCATTTCACAAAATTATCCTTGTTAAATCTTATATTTTTTCTCGAGTAGTTTTTTGCTTGCTCTTTTCTTTCTTTTCCATGCATAATATTTATCTTTCTAATGATTGCTTATCCTATTTCCATCTTTTGAAAATTATTTCTATCTTCCTTTTTTCCTATTCTATCTAAATTTTTATTCTTCCTCTTCTTTTTTCTCGTAGATTTTTCAAATTATCTTGTTTTTTTTTTTACTCATTTACTTTCATCTTGTCTTCTTTTTCCTCTTATTTTTCTTTACTCCTTATATTTTCTGAGATATTTTAATTATTTTCTTTCTCCTTGAATCTACGGTTGACAGCCTTCCTTCACTTCTCTATTTATCCCTCGTCAAAGTTTCTCACTACCTTTTATTTTGCTTCTCTCACATCTGCATTTTTTTTCTATTTTCTTCCCAATCTCTTCTGAATCTACTTATATTATTCCTCATTTCCTATGTATTCTCACAGATTTCCAATTTTCCTTCTCTCTCACCGCCACTTTCTCTCTTCTATTTACTACTCTTTCCCTTTCTTACTAGCCACGTACTCTTCACCCCTCAAAGCACACGTGCCACCAGAGATTTTCCACCACCACGCTCTGTCTCTCTCTCAAAGCTACGTTTCCCCTTCCCATCGGCCACCCCTACCAACGCTCGATTCACCCCCATCGAGCTTTCTCCCCTCCAATGCCATCCTTTCTCTCGCACACGATCCAACCTCGCCACCGCCGCCTCTCACCGATCTTTTCTCTCGTTTCATCCCTTTCGAGTACACCCGAACCGATCGTCGATCTTCGTCTCGTCGGTGGTCGCGCTGTCTGTCGCCGACACCGTGCAGCGCGACCAGTCAGTCCGGTTGCCTACCTCGGGCGCTGTTGACAGCCACCCTTGTACGCGAGAAGATTCTTCCCGATGCCAGCCGCGTTACCACCACTGTCTCTTCCACGATAGTGGCAAGAGATATCGCGATAGTGGCCGTCTTCCTCCCACGAGAAACTGCCGATAGAATTTCAACGTGGTGTCGTTGTGTGTCGTTTCTAGATAAAACAATCTTATATTATTTTTACCAGTGTACTGTGAGAAACGTGAAGTCGAATAGTGACAATCGTTGGTAAACCGCGTACATACGTGTTTGAGAGTCCAAGTGTTTGTTCGTTTCGTTATGCGTTTAAGCTGTTGGTCCCGCTCGATTGCCAGCAACTACAACGGGATCAAAAGCAAGGCTAAATAGGAAGGCGATAGGAACGGCGAGTTTAGAAGGTCGAGGGAGAAAGGATGACGAAGCGGAGGACGAGTAACATGGGATCATGGTGGTGAATGAGAGTGGTGGAAAAGCAGCAGCAGAAGCAGTAAAAGCGGAACGGCTGAAACCAGTGCTTTTGGCATGAACGAGAAGGAAAACAGTCTCGATGAGGCTCGCGGTCGCGGCGATGCTTATAGACGTGACGTGACTGTCTCGCTGTACCAACGCTCGTACTGTTCACGCTTAATCCTACTCGTGACATTAGTGATTCTTATGACGATGTGTGTGCTCGATTCACCATGGTGTGTCACCGTCACAGCGTAACGCACGTTTAAAGGTCAGTAACGAGACATACGTGGGGGACTTCTCGAAAGGTCTCTTTTTTTTCTCTCTCTCTCTCTTTCTCTCTCTCCGTCTCGTTTTCGTAATCAGCTGGTTTTCCTCGATTTTCTGGCAGCAGTATGGAGTCACGTGTGTGCAGGGCGAAAAGCCAATAATAACACCATCGGTAATTATTCAAGAATTCCGAGATTTTAAACGTTCACAGCGTTTTTTCGTTGATAGATTTTGATCGTTTCCCTGTTTTTTTCTTTTTCTTTTTTTTTTTTTTTTTTGAGCTAACAGTGTAGAAGAAGACAGTAACAAAATCAAAATCTTCCAAAGAAAGATAAAGATTCGTCTATTAGAAGACGTAGCGAATAATTAGACCGCGAAGAAGGTACGAGTATGACGGATACAAGGCCGAGGGGATCGAGGTGGGGCCTTTACAATGGAATAGGCATCGAATGAATTTGTGTTTTGTCATTGAATGGCGACGAGAGAGAGGAAAGGGATCCGTGGAAAAGCTATGATAAATTTCTGTGGGAAGGTCGGGAGGAGGATTGCATAACGTCAACCCCCTTCTCCCCTCGTCCTCGGCTCGGTCGAGTTTCAACCCTCAACCCACCGTTTCACGGTTTTCCCTTCTCTCGGTATATCCAGCTTCTCCTCCAAACGGTAACAAACATTCGCGCCGATAGCTAATTAAAAGCTCTCTCGCATAAAACCGCTCCTCTTCTTGGCTACCCTTTCCCCTCCCTTCGTGTTTCTTTTTTCCTTTCCATCCCCCTTTCACGTCTATCGTGTAACGAAAGAATTTTAATTAAAAAAGACACCGACATCTATTCTCCGTATAACCTCTGAAGGTATTCGCGATGTCGTTTAATTCACTAGACAAGGTCAGGTCTCTCTTCACTCTCTGTTCCAAGCCTGGCGAGAGAAAGAGAGAAAAAGAGGAAGAGAGAGAGAGAGAGAGAGAGGAGGGGGAGAGATAGAGATATAGAGAGATTTCTGTCTCTCTTTTTCCAAGCTAACGCGACACCGGAGGCGAAAAAAAAGGGATCATCCTGTGGGGATCGATTGTCCCCGCTTTTTTTCACCGGTACTCGCACCAACTTGAACACGCTGAACATTGACCCAGGACATTGACTGTCTGAATCCTCATCTTTCGAATCTTTTTTTCTTTGATAATACGATCGTATAATAAATTATTCGTCGATATCGGCAATTCTTTCTTGCGTTAAAATCAAAATTAAATTCTAAGCCTAATTTGTAAACGTATTCGAGCAAGCGCGCAGAGGGGTTAAACGATCGATGGGCCCTTCACTTTCTTCCGTTATCATTCTTTCTTCTACTTCATCCTTTTGTGTATTGTAACATCGATACACGAGCATCGATATTCGCGTTTTCAAAAGATAGAAAACACGATACAAACCAATCTTCCATTCCTTTCTTTTCTTCTTACACTTTTCTTTTATCCCTCCCCCATTGAAGATCTTAGAAGAAAATTTATCGACGACGAGATTTCTTTTTGTTCCGTCCCGATCTTCTCGTTTCTGTTTACCCTCTTTCTTTTCTTAGATCCCGCACAACGTGCACTTAACCACCCACACACGGAGGATACATATACCTGGACATGTGTGCACTCTGAAGCACGGATGCATGTATCGTCTCCACTTCACTCCATGTGTTTATCTGTACACGTAGCTACATATATTCTAACACGGGCTCGAGAGGACTGTGGTGCAGTGATTCCCAACCATACATGCTCACATCTTCGTTCTGTGCCAAGAATTCAAACCCGTTAATTCATCCGTGAATCCTTCATACGTTTTGTCACGTTTCCCTTTTCTCAAATCTTTCGCCCCACCTTCGACTCACAATTATCGTTTTAAACTTTGTATCTTAGACGACGTATATTACTTCTTCTCACTTCTCAAATTCTCTTTTTCCAGAAACGCTTTAACCATTTCCACACACATTTGTCAGCGGTTATTTAAACCGACAATTTCCCTCCAAATATAATGGAAACTCGTAGCAAATATTTAATTATAAAAACTTTCATATCGAATGCACGCATCGAGTAAAGTTTACGAAAACATTAAAATATCCTATACGAGGAAAATCTCAACTCAGCAACGGATCTAAATAAAGCGCTAAACAAGCGAAAATAAGACGAAACAGTGCAAAATGACAAATAGCTTAAATAATATACCGTAACTATTTCTTTTCTACCTGCTTCACGAAGAAGGATTCTATCCTTGAGTAATAAATTGAGTAATAATTGAGTAATATTTTGTTCAATATTTTATTATTAGAAACAATTTTTTATTAGCTCTTAAATCGATTAATCGTTCGCAGGATATATAGAAAAATCTTCGTACGTATCCAAGCTCTATTCTTCATTTTCGTCGACCATTCCGGTTTATATTCGGCTCCTAACATGGTTCAAAACAAAGTTCTCATTAACGGGATAGACACTCCGCACTCTATTTACCGTATTTGCCGAGCTTTTGAGGCGGGAAGCAAGCGAACGATGAATACTTTAGAGAGTGGCCGCTGCGAAAGAAGCTATCAACTTTTAGAAGGAAGGGTTCATCATTCAACCATACAAAACGAAAGAAAATTTAACAGGATTCTATCAAGTTTTAAATGTCATCCAGCTGTTTGTCGGCTCGATTATCATTTAATGTAAATTCGTTCGACAACTATGATCGAGCAGTGACATTTCGTCCCACGATCGAATTCATCATCCATTTGTGCGTTTTCCCTCGCTTCGATACATCTATACTCTTCCTTCCCCTCCCCCTTCTCTTATTTACGAACGATCGCAGTTTCCTCTAATTCGAACGAAACGAAAGCAAGTTGGCTTGACGTAAGCCGTCTAATAAGAAACACGATGCTGCTACCGATATGATTTCCGTTAAAAATAACCAATGCCCAGTAGCTGCGCATCTCTCGGGTATATATATATATATATATGTATATATATCTGACAGTGTCATCCCTCTGGTGGGTTTGAAAAATTTCCAGTTTCGCATCATATTTCTCTGAATATGTAGTGGATTTGATTATCAAACTTTGAAAAAAGAGATCGAGCGATGAAAAATTAGTATGCTCATAGTTTCGTCTAAAAATATCCTATGTATAATGTCGAATGTTAAATCGCATTGGATACAAAATTTGTACCCGGATATTTTCTTGGATGCGATTTCCTTTTTTCTTTCTCTCTCTTCCTCTCTTACTTTTTCGTATATTGTATACAATATACAATATACGCAACGATACGTGGAATGAAATGTCATTTCGTATCGTTTGTAATTTTGATCGTTTTTTTTTTCTTTGCATTAGTACGTTTACTCTTTATCTTTCCTTCATTTCCTTTATTTGCAGTTGTTCAACTCGTTCCTCAAAGAGAAAGAGAGAGAGAGAGAGAGAGAGAGAGAGATAGAGAGAGCACAGCGCAACACGGCTAGCTGGCTAAGGGAGATCGATAATAGAATTGCCTATTGCACGCTAGAACTGTCAGAAAGAAATACAATTTAGCGAGGTACACGCTAGTGACCTGTTCGTGCCGTTTCACGAACGAGCGATATTGCTTCTACGTGATCTATCACGATGAAAGCTAATAATTACTCTTTGCCGTATCTGTGCGCCGCTCATTGCATATCAGATAGTACGCGATCGTGCGTGTCTTTTGTGAAATTGAGAGAAGAATCCTTTCGAGATTTTGTTTAAAAAAGAAAAAAAAAAAGCAAGAAAACCGTTCGTAACACGATGACTTTACAACCCTCTCTTGCATACCGTTTCCAATTGAGGACTTAAATTTCAAAGATGTATGTTCCCATTTTGCATGGATGCAAAATACGTACGTAGAGATGCATTCGTCAATATTTTAAAAAATAAGAATGCTGTCAAAACGCTGTTATTGTTTCATGACTATGCTCATTTTTAAGTAAGACTAACAGCTGTATATATTTTTTTTAAGTCATAGAAATTCATGGAATAGAGGCTTAACCCTTTCTCTTTTAACGAATTCTTCAAACGAAATTCCAAACGTTCCGAATATCCATAGATTATAACTAAATACGTGTACTTTCTACGTGTAGTTCGATTCCTCGAGCCAGACAATCTCAGGATTAATTCTTTCATTTCGTGCCTATAATATCCACGCTAGCTTTATATATCGGTGAACTTTATTGCTTCCTCCTTGCTCGCGACTTTATTGACGCGCATTTCGCCCGCTCTTACACCGATATTTTTATCAATTTTCGACGGTTACCTCGTTCCTCGACAGAGAAAGAGGGAGAAAGCGAACGAATACTCGACGCTTCGGTGTCCGATATTCCGCAAGATAAATCGTCCCCTATCGTCCCAACTTTATTGCTTTGCATCGTTGACACGAATCTGTGACGCGGTATTGTCGCCACACCGGAACAAAAGGCCGAAACCGTTTTTCCCGACACTCGATCGGTTTCTGTTTCGTTTACCTCGAATCGTGTCCTGCTAACGAGCGCCATCAATTTCGGGTAAACAGAGAGCCTTTCCTTGCCTTCCTCGGCTTATACATCTTCCGCAACCAACTTTCGATAACCCGTTTCTTTCGATTCAATTTCAATTTCAAGTAAAAGAATAATGTGAATTTCACGATTCACGATCCGTGAAATCATTCACGAATTTAAGAGGATGGAGTAACAACGAGAATAGAATTAATAAAAATAACAATGATTTTATAAATACAGCGAATCTTTTATCTAACGTAGAAAGTAGAATTCAAGGAGATTGTACAATGAAATGTTGGAGTAGTAATCTAGCGTTTTGGTCAGACAGTAACGATAGAATGTATTTGTCAGACGGACAATTGTCCAAGCGGTTGCTTCGAACACTGTAATCCGTAATCAAACTGGTCCTAATCAATCTATTAACACAGAGGCAACACAATCCCCTAACCCAGTGAACAGAGACCGCTCGCTGTAAACTATCGGCCGGGTAAGCATGTTCCAGGCGCTCGTACATATATATATACATACATATCCTACAAACCATTCGAATCGCGCGAAACTTTATATTTTTACAGCGATCGGTCCTTTAAAATGCGTCGACACCACCGTCATCATCATGATTTTTTCCAATTTTTTTTCCCGGTATAGGAATCGTCATCGGCGATTGCGAAAGAATCGATAGAAAGAGAAGAGCAAAAAGGAGAAGGAAACGCGGTGGTCGAGGAGGAAGAAGAGAGAAAACAGAGATATATAGAACCTCTCCCGATTGGCCGAGAAGTTACAATAGACCGCTACCACTGTCGGGGAGTTCGCGTGACACGCGCCGTTTCTCACTCTGCACATTTGCTCGTCCACCTCGACGCGGAGGAAGCTCTCCCGATCTCGATAAACACACACGCGCACACACAAACACACACACATACACACATACACACACGCGCGCGCGCACATACACACACTCGCTTCCATTCTCCACCAGGACGGTATAATCCTTAACGACGAGGACACGCGTACCAGGGAGGCACCGATAGTATGACGGTGATGCTGCTGCAACGTTCAGTCACCCCGCAGTCGACGCACAGCCAAAAGACAGCGAACAAGGACTGCAACGCGAAGCCACCCTTCTTATTCCTGCTCGACGACTGTCAAGAGCACAGCCACTCCATTGACACTACCATCACCACCACGACAACCAACAACAACAACAACAACAACAACAACAACAACAACAACAATAACAACAACAACATTAACATTAACAATAACAATAACAATAAGAACGACGACATACTTAAAGGAGGTAGCAGAAGAGACAGTAATCGTTCGTGCGTCGCCGACGAGGCGGCGGCGTCGGTGACGTCCCAAAGACGCGCCGAGTGTGGCCAGGACGTCGCGATGCGATATTACCGGCTCTGGATCTACACCTGTAACTTGGTGCTGCTCGGTAGCGCGCTAGGCTTCGCAGCCGCGGTCTCACGAACGCTTTTATTCACCGGTGATCCACGCCGGTACGTGGTGCCCGGGGTGCCCCGTGCATACGACCCGACAGCCCTCTACGCTTACCTGGCGTTGGCCACGCAGTTGGGCCTGGTGCAATTGTTGGGTTGCATAGCGGCGAGGAGATTGAGCGCAAGACTTCTCAACGCCTATTGGGTCCTGCTTCTGGCGCTTCTTTTCGGCGACGCCGTGATCGGGGTCGCTTGGGTCTTCCGGTTTGAGAGGATGCGCGCCGAGCTCAGGCCTACTCTCAGGCAACGATTGCAGGTCAGTATTAATTATACATATATATATATATTTAACTCTCTCGTTCCTTTTTGTATCTTTTTCTTTTTTTCTGGGAACGTTTATGAACGTCAGAATGCCAGATTGTCTTTCGCATGCAATTTTATCTTCGAATCGATCAGATTTCTAGTTTCTTTTTTTTTTTTTTTTTTTTTTTACGGATTTCTCTGAACATTGTACTGAGCGACAGTAGTGAAGTAAAATGTAACGTGATGTTAAACTTCCATTGCCTGAAAGTGATATTAGAAATGGATAAAAGAATTTCTTTCTCCTTTTTCTTTTTTTTTCTTTATATTATCCTGTAATAGAACTTTCGTACGGAGAACCTGATTGGCAAATCCTGGAATCTAGACTCTAATCATGGTCCAGTGATCCAATCGTATAATTCTCTTCTCCCTTACTTCAATGACTTATATTATCTCGGTCAGACTTTTCGACCGGATTAAGAAGTTTGTGACGAAATCTCTTTTCTTTTGATATTTTTATATATGTGTATCGTATGTGGTTTTATCCGATCGTCTTCGAGCGAATTTCACCTCGGATCACCTCAAGATGACTTTCCATGGTAAAGGTGGAAAAAGTTAATCGTCGAGACTTGAAAGAGGGAAACTTTGGAGGGAAATCGGAGATACGCGACACGAGGAAATAAAGTTTCGAAGGAAACCCTCGTCTTCTCGATCGATCGCCAACGAATCTCGAACGAATTTTATTCACCCAATTTCCTCGATCGATAGTATAATTCGAAACTACGAATACGAAACACGCACAGGATCCGCGATACTCATCGCTTTATTGTCCACGGGGAATGCGTGTTCCCTTATCTAGATTCGTATCAAATTTGTTCACATTTATGAGACGATATCGAAACGGATACTACGTTTCATCGAAACGAGTTGTTGAACGAGTAGTTGTCAGCTGTTGGGTCGGGTATTAAAGAAAGAAAAATCGAGAATATCGTGCACGACGAGCAAATATCATCGAGTTTTATGCTCGATGAACGAGCGGGCCATTATACGCATGTATAGAAGGGAAGGAATGTCGTTAGCGAGAAATAAGTGGCTCGTTTTCGCAATAAGAGAATCGGTAATATCGCGATCAAGAGCCCCGGGATGGATTTCTTACGAGGGGATAAATCTACTCGAATCGAGTTCGAGCTCGATTTTTCCCTCGATTCGTGCGAAATGGGGGAGATAAAATAAAAAAAAAAAAAAAAGGAAAAAAAGAAACGCGAGAAACGGAATGCGAAAAAGATAATATACCGTATCGACGCGAAAGAATACATCGAGCAGAGCTGAAGAAATTATCGAAGCCCCGCGATATATCGCATGTCTTAGCGTTGGAATAATTTAAAGCGTTTCTGCTACGTTCGATTAAACTTTCGCCCGAGAAGTTAGAAATTTCGCACCTATCCCCTCCTCGATCTCTCGTCGAAAACGATTTCGAACAACGATAATTTTATCCCAAAACTCGACGTGGAAGGGTATCGAAGGAGGAGCGTAAGTAACGCAAAAAAAAAAAAAAGGAAAAAAAAAGTAGCAGAAAATCGGTTTTCAGGGGAGAAAAAGAAGGAAAGGAAAATAGGGGAGGCGTGGTACCCCTTATCACTTCGCATCGTAACGTTCGATAAAGTATCGGGCAAGGAAAAGGATAGGTTTTCGGTGTCGAAGCCGGGATCAAGTCCAAACGCTCGCGTTGCTGGCAGAGAAATCGTGGGTGAATCATAAATAGGATGATGCCTGACTTGGCGAATCTAAGTGGCAATCGTACATTTTCATCCCCCTTCCAATCTTAAAAGAGAGCTTCTCGGACCCGATTGAATCTTCATTTTCATTACGTGGCAATATTTCTCATTCGATCTTTCCCCTCTTATGTCCACGTGTATTGAAACGCTATTCCCGGTACCGTTTAATCGATAAACATAAAAAATATACAGGGTCGACCGGTGGCCAAAAATCGATTTAATCTCTGCCGTAAAAGGATATAACGTCGATCGTTAGACATTGGAGAATTATATGGCCGTGGTGTAGGCTCGGGTAAATATTAAAATGATTTCAATAACTCTAAATTTGATTCGAGAAGTATCTTTGTTAGACAAATTTGCATCCGTCACAATTTGTAATTAATTTTGCGTACGATACTGGCCGATCTGACGACGAGTACAGTCATGGTATCGTGATGTTATTTATATGGTATATTACAAATTATTTATAAATATGCAAACATACTTGGCAAACTTTGCGCCGTTTCTTTGTCTTTTTTATATCGCTCCGCGTTATTATTATATCGTGTGCAAGTGTATATATAAAAATATATAGGGGGAAGCAACGACCGATTCGATCGAACTTTAAAATCAATCGACTCGATTCGTTATTCTGAATAGTACGGAGTAGTATGTATATGTATACTTGGAGGGAATGAACGAAGAATAAATTAACGCCTATTGGAATGAATAATTTCGTTGGACGGGGAAAAATAATGGGTTGGAAAATACGAAGATTCGAAATTAATCGATTCTTACTTGGACTTTTACTTTTTATAAATGGCGCCGTTTATTTTTAGAGAATTCTTAATTGCCGATTGAAAGTTTTAATCGTGCCGTTCCCACGTTACCACCTATCGAGCGGAAACAAGTTGAAACTTTAAATAAACTTCGCTGAGCCTAAACAGTCTGAAATTTTTATCAATGCTACAACGTTGATGTATTATAGTAACTACACGCGTTGTTCAAACTTGAACAAACTTGAAAATTCTGTCTCTTCATTTTTATTTAATTTGATTTTAGTAATTTTCGATCATTGCTTTTCAAAAATTCTTCTCTTTTTCTTTTCGAATGAAAAAAAAAAAAGGAAAAATATTTTTTTAGTTACATCGGATTTGTTACAGACTTGGAAAATATTCGGTGAAATGAACTAGGCGGCGGAGCTAATTAAGAAAGAGTGAACTAGTTTACCGGCACCTCGTTGCTCGTCACGATGAAAAATCAGTGTCACGGGGATTATTAACAATTCCGATCTTTGGCCTGCTTCTCTATCCGTATCTGCAGTCATTATTCTTAGCCCCGTTCTTATCTAGGTCGATCGCATAATCGACGGAAAATGTGCGTACCCTCGAATAATCGACCTGGATACATGCAGTATCGTCTGCTCGATTTCCATTATCCATGCTGCTCTAAAATTCCAAAAAACTTTATCGCCTCTATCTTTATTCTTTACTTATTTTCCAAAATCCGAAAAATCTGCCAAATTATCACGAATTATCATCGCGAATTATCATGTACAACGAGAAAACTCCATCGAAAATCCCGCAAATGGTAATTTAACTCTATAACGTTATAACTCTATCGGTCTAACTCATAAATAACGGTTCGATATCGAAACAAGGGTTAAAAATATCCATTTAAAAATATCCTCAGCCGATACTCTTTCGGCGAACGATGCGTAAATTTAGCCTCCATCAGATCGATAACGTTTCGAGCGAAGTCGAAAACTTCCCAGTTCTATGAACTTCGCCTACACCTTCGCGTACACACATATAAATATAGCGCGTATAGAATGCACGAATTTGATTATTGGCGCGAACTCGGATTATTGATTTCGTTGCAGATAGAGTACTGGAAGGATCTACGATTCAGCGAGCAATGGGACCGTTTGCAGAAGGAGTTCACCTGCTGCGGTGTGACCGGCCCTAAGGATTTCGGTAGCCGATGGCCGCTCACCTGTTGCGGACCATCTGGCAACGTTAGCGACAGTTGTCAACCGTATACGAAAGGATGCGAGGAATCGTTGATACGATGGCTACGAAAAACTGCTGACTTGCTGTTCGTGTTGGGCTTCTGCGTGATAGCGTTCGCCAAATTGTGTTTCCTCGGTATACTGCGTTACGAGATAAGGGAGATGATACAGAAGATACGATTGTTAAGGGAGCCACCGCCGCCGGCGACCACCCTCGCGCAACCACCGTTCTCTCAAGTGATACCGGAAGCGACCAACAACGGGAGCATCGTTCGACGCACCACTCTGCCTAACGCTGTCACCCCTTCCGGTATGTTCTCTCCTGCTTATACGGTTATTATATCATTTTTCGTGCAACTTTTATCGAATCTCTTGTCTTTCCAGCAATAAGAAAATTAGAAAGGGATAAGTTGAAAAGAGGGATTCGTTGTAAAAGGGATGACGCGTTCTTTTTTCCCCGCAAATTTTTGAGAATTTTTGGAATATTTATTTTCTTTGGGAAAAGATTTTGAAAGTCTTCAAATGATTTACTGATAACTTTGAAGATTTCACGTAAAGGGATGGGATATGAACGATGTGCACGTTTGATTTCGGGCGATGGACACGTAAGAAGGCACGTTTCGACGTCCGCATGGCATTAGGCCAAGTTTTCTAAGTTCCATCGTCACTTGGTGGCCACGTTATGAAGAAGAAATGATTATTTCCAAGTGTTTAAATATGTCTCTTATATCATTTTAAAGGATTTATACGCTAGAATGTAGAAGTGAACTCGTGAATTGTATAAAATTATCCTAGCAGACAATATTAAAAAGAAAACAAAAAAGTTTGTAATCTATGCAAACGTGGGAAAAAAATTGTTCTCGCGGAACTTTTAAACAGACTTTTTGCTTACTTTACAAGAAAACTCACAAGGGAAAAAGATATATATATATATATCTATAAAGATACATTTTCTCTCGACTGGAAATTCTCACAGAAACTGTTTATCGGGGATTTCCGTTGAAAATGAAATTTTCGTTTCGAGATTTACCAAACAAATGGATTAACGTTTATTAAGGTCATCCCACGATTCCTATTACAACCCCTCTTTTTCTTTTTTTCTTTCATCGACTTCTCTCGCAGCTGGCTGGCTTCGCAGTCAATAGCACTTACACGGTTTAAACGATGCAAAAGCGTGACGAAAAAAAAAAAAGAAAGAAAAAAAGAAAGAAAGAAAGGAAAAGAAAAGAAAAGAAAAGAAAAATAGGATTAACAGCGAAAAGGCAACGAGAGATAATTGGATAAACACGAAGTTAACCGTATACACAACCGTATATGCGACGTCAATGAGAAATTGGGAAATTGGAACGGGAACAAACGACGACGAGCTGTCTCCAAGTATCTTTTCACGGAACCCCGATAGTTGATATATCTCGTACATCGTATACGCGAACTAAAGAGACTAAAAACGAAGCTGCTGAATAGCACGAAACGAAAGTTTCAATAGTTCCTTGACGAGGAATTATAAAATCAGACTGACCGGAACCGTACTGTGCAATCATCGAGATTCCTCGAAGATAAACGTGTAGTGCGGCTCGATCGAGATTCGTGTTCGATCAACTGGTTCCATCGATTTCGAATAAATACGTTTACACGTTTACGCCCAGAAAATGAGGCAAATCCTATCACGGACGCGGTTGAAACACGCGAGCTTCGATCCTCGTAACAAATCCAACGAAGATTTATGATGTAGATAAGCCGCGAATTGCAAACGAGGAAATATTCTCAAGTTTTTCTAATAAAGTTTTTCCTGGTGGTTGGAAGTATTTCTGGTAAACTGAAGGGTGACTGAACAATATACTGAACATTTTGAGCGAGGGGGTAGATGTGTGATGTATGTAAAGGAAAGAAAGAAGGAAAGAAAAAAAAAATGCCGAAAAATAATTGGCACGAAACAACAAAGGGGTTAACGACACGGAAGAACTGCGTGCATGGAGGAGGTCGTTTCACAGTCGGCGAATGTGAAATAATTCCATGTTGAAGCTGGCGATCTTGGGTCGGGGCTAGTCTAGTTTAAGCGATATAACTCGGCCGTGTATGCCTGCCTCTGCACGTTTTGGGATCGGAACAGAAGAAGTAGGGCATTGCGTGCTCGAGTATAATAAGTATTTAGCACCCTGTTCGTACCGTCTCATAATTATACAAACAGATAGAACGAATTTTAAACTTGATAGCGGCACCTAAGAACGATCGTATACGATTTTAGTGAAAGGTCAAATCGCGAAACGATAAGAGGGAACCCGATGGTATCGCTAATCGCAGCGTGAAAATTGATTCTATTTAAAGTTTATTATTATCACAGGGTTTATAATCGTTATAAACCATTTCTATTCCATTTGAACTTATGGATACGAGAAGTATATCGATTTTTGCCAATTTTTCTACGGATATTTTATATCGAGAAAATATTTTATATCGATAATGAAAGTCTCGATAAAATCTCGCAGTTTCGCAGTCCTAAATCTTCAGCATTATCTTCTCGAGGTCTTTCGATTGTTGGTGACTGATGAAGAGAAAGCGTGAAGAAGAGACAGCTTCTTTGAGATCTTGTCAACATCCTTTTTTTTTCCAGAATTAATCCTTCCTCCGCCACTTTTTTATCCAGATTAAAGAAAAAACGTTTTTTCCATTGTCGATTTTATTAGTTAAATTCTTAGCACAGTTTCCACCAATGTAATTCGATTTCTCTATAAAAAAGAGTTTTTTCCTTTTCATCGAATAATCTCCATAATAGATTTTACAAATTTTTCCATGTTTTTTCGAAACGAATCTGCACACGTAGAATCTGTATCGCTAAAAAATTAGCAATCAATTTTTAAAGAACAATCAACATGAGAATTGAAAAGATGTATCGCATAGTTGCTTGCCATCTGTGCAAAACATTCATCCAATGCATGGAAATGGAAAGAAGAACGGTGATATAACCCTAAACGAGCATAAAAATACCATTTTATTTTCCCTCCCGTTATGGAAAAAAGGAGAGGTAATAATTCAATGTATATCTCCCCTTATAATCGAATTGACATCCCTTTCGAGCCGATCGAGAATGTATCCGCAACTTGTTCAACTATCCTCTTTCTTATCTTACGACATTACATTAATCTCGAAGATTGTAAAAGTCCTCGAGTGTACATTATCGACTTAGCTAATCTATGGGGGTGTTATCTGCACGAATGCGTGCGATCAATGGATCTCGTACGAACAAGCTTGATCAAGCTAAACTGATAGGGAGGCGATGTAATAAAAGACTGATAACACGCGATGTACGTCAATAACTACCTTAACGTTACAATCATTATGGATGTTAATAATAGCACAGCGGTGTAAAAGTCAAAGGTTCTTGCGATTGTTTTGCCATTTCTGTACGCATAGTGACGCGTACAGAAAACGCGCATTACACGATAATGAAGATTATATTCGGAATAGTTGGCGAGTTTCTCGGAAAGAAAGAGCGAGAAAAAAAAAAAAGAAAAATAAAATTTTACAATTTACAAAACACGAGAGAGAAGAATATATAATAATTTTTCGAATTATCGCTCGAAAGGAAGATATTATACCGATGTTTCGTTCAAAACTTTTCAAAAATTGAAAAGTCACTAGACACAGCGTGAAAAAAAGTAAAAAAAGAACAATTAAGATAATCCCTTACTCGAGAGATTTCGCGAAATTATCCATCTTGATAACAGGGAAAATTTAAATTTCAGGAAACGCATCGTTGTTGATTCAAACGGAGGAATGCAACACCGGAAGGCATCCTCTGTTGGCGAACAATTTGCAGGATGGTGGGGCGGACAGCGACACGAACAGTCATTGCGCGTTGATCCTCGAGGAAACAACGCCTACCTCGGCGAACCATAATTGCGGCAACAGAGAGAAAAGCAATGGCAACAACAATTACGAAATGCGAGAATTCAACAGGAGGCTGTGGTTGTCGAACGGTGGCAGCCCGGGCACGGGTATAACAGCCGGTGGTCAAAGCAGGCGCACCTGACTATGGAAGTGGTGGCGAAACACGTCGAACCGTCTCCTCTACAGGAGCAATCGGTCTGCCGAGATCACCGTGTATAAGTAAGCCTATCTGTATATGCGTGGCTCTGATATACACACGCGAATAACCCATGTTAAAATATACGAGAGGACAATTTTTTCTTTTTTTTTTTTATTTAAAAAAGAAAAGAGAAGCGACAAACGCGAATCAACCTTCGGATTTTCATTTCGCTTGGTGGTCGAATAGTTAGTTGATAGAATTATTAATTAATCGTTAAATGTGAGAGATAAGCTCGGAGAATTTTATTTATTGCGTTGTATTATTGTATCCAAGGATTAAAACAATCGTAATGGTAATGATGATAATAATTTCTTTCGATTCGAAGGGAAAGCTTAAACTTAATAGGAAGGGAGAGCAGATCTTTCACTCAAGAAAAGACGATACACACGTTATTATAGGCACGACAGATTGTAGAGACGTATCGAAAGATATTACATTCAGGTTATTGATTTTCACGTAAATCGACGTTTCCGTCGAATCCGAAGGGAGATTCCTGCTTTGATCCTTCCTTTCCCTTTTTTTTATTTTTTTTTTTTTTGCCTTTCAAATCACGCGTTGTTCGTACAAACGTATCTTTCTTCGTATCTTTACTCCGAGTACAAGGAACGAGTAGATTATTCTCGAGTTTCGTAATTTCATACCGGTTTAGAGATCTAGTCCCATCCTCTGCTCACAAAGACTTATAGTTTTTTTATCCTTTCTTGCTGCAATATTAAACTTTTCGTTTAATCTCGTATTAATATCGTAGTGATATTTTCTAACGCCCACGATTCATTTCTTCGTTGTTAATTGATTAGTTACTTACTAAATCTGTGAATTTAAATCCAAGAAAATGTCGCGAGCAGTCCCGGCAATTATCGAATCACTGACGTCTGCGTAAATACGAATAATGATTAAATAAACTGTAAATGTCGACTCTATGATAATTTGAATAATGCTGATTCATCAAATAATAGTCGAATGATTTTACTTTTTTTTTTTTCTGAAAGGTAGGGGGAATATTTTTTATCACTTGCTATCTTCTTTATATCCATTTTTTTTTTTGTGATATGGATAATTTGATCGATTTTTTTTTCTTTTTTATTTTCCATCGATGAATTATTGGCGACCAGGAGGAATCTGTAAATTCAAGGCTCGTAAACACGTGACTATTGATTAAATATTAATAAAGGAAATGTTACTAAGAATGTTATTAAGAGCATATATACGTATCATTAATTTATCGTAAGTCAAATGTATAATTAATGATCGTTACCGCATAATTTATTTGAAATTATTCAAATAATACTCTCTTTTTTTAAATATTTTCATTTCTTTTGTAATTAAATGAACATTGCTTATATAAATTGAGTTTTGAAATTACAAATTGCCAAAAAATTAAATTAACCTTTTTTTTTCTTATTAATTTTCTCAATATCTTTCTATTTTTATTATCTCATTAAAATGAAATGAAAATGTATATAAATTTATTTCGAACGTCCATTTAATTATAAACTTGTTTTCCTATATAAAAAATATTTATGTATATATTAAATTATTTTATATTTATGGGTGATAAATATTCAATAAATAACGAGAAAGAAAAAGTAACTTCAAAGAGTTGGACGCCAACAATTTATCCAATTTTTTTTTTTCAAACAGGATAGAGTGAGAAGTGAAAAGAGAAAAAATACATCGATAATCAGTTCCACTTATTTTGATTCAATTCAATTTCATTATCGAAGAGAGGATTTGCGTCAATCGTATTGAATTTAATTATTTCGTTAATTTTAATTCCATTAATGATCTTTTATTTTCATCGAATTCTTCTATCCACCATCCGTTTCATGAACTTCGGTGATCAAATTAAAATCAAGCATTTTGGTAATGTTGATTTTTAGAATCAGTTTTCGGTATATTTTTAGAAAATGAGATTAACTGACAGCCACATCGTTAATTTATATAGATATATACCAAAATTTTCTAGAATAGATAGGATTATTCCATTAGTATAAAACGAAGTGCTGTATTGCGAGCATTTATATCGCGAAAATAGATAAGTCACGTCCGATTCGAGTATCATTAAATTAAGTAAGATTGCAGGGATGAATATTAGAATAATGAAAAAATAATTAAAAAAATAAATAAGTAAATAAGAAATATAGAATCCAAAAGACCAAAAAGTTTAACTTAAAACGTGATAAATCGATATCGCGACGAGATTAATAACATAAACGAACGACCAAATCAAGTTATATAAAATACTAAGGCGTATCTTCATTTTTTAAAGGATAGGTCCACAAACCGGAGCTAAGGTTTCTAAAGATTCTACTGACCTCACGAGTACACCAGCCCACAATAAGCGAATAACGTTCAAAGTTTTGCGCGTTGCAAGAAAAATGTATCGTTAATCCTCGTATATTATCGAATAAAATAAGCTCTGGATCCTGTTAGTCGACGATAGAAATTTATTTACAAAATGAAACTGTTTCAATCGAGGCTAGTTTAGACTAGTGTATAATTTTATCGGTATTCTCGGCTTCGTTTCTTCGAAGTCACCACGTATTAAGTGGAATTCACTAAATAAATGAGATTTTAAAGATACATTTTTCTCGTGACATCATACATAGTGCAAAGTCTGCATGATAATGCTATTCGAAGTGCTGATGATCAAAATAAATTTCTTTTTGCGTAACGACACATAACGGACGATGAAGCGAGAATCGACATGAACAAATTACAAGGAAGAACGAACCAAGAAATCAATGGGATAAAACAAAAAAAAAAAAAGAAAAAGAAAAAAAACAAACAAAAATTATGGAAAAGAGAAGAAAAGTGAAAAAGAAGTGCGTCGAAGCTGCATAAAAGGAAAGAGGAAGGCCTGTGAATGCCTTTCGGTATCTTTTCGATTCTCTTTCTACGCGTATTCTTTACATGTCTTTCCGTCCTCGCATGGTCGGTGAACAAAGAAAAAAAGAAAAAAGAAGAAAATAATCAATTACTTTTGTAGATTTATTTTTAGCAGTAAGTTTTCCTATACGAAATTATTTTTCTTTAAATCGAACTAAAGAACATTTTAAACACGGAGTCCTTATATACTGATTTTTACCGCGCGAATCATGAGTAGTATATCACAATATATAAAATATAACTATCGTCGCTATTACATAAATGCGATATTTTTCTGTTATTTGATTCCTATTTTAGTTAAAAAATTTTAATGTTATTATCATATTTATCGCGAGTTCAATTATATAAATAATAAAGATTATGCTCCAATTTTCACTGTTTCTAATATACAAATTGGAATACAATCCAATAAAATATATAAAAAAAACAACAAAAATTGTTCAGTTATTCGAATACACACGATTGCGTTAGATCACGAGAATAGAATATAATGTGTTGCTCGTGACCAAATTTTTTTATCATAAATTACGATAACAATGAGATGTGTGAAAGGTTAATCGGTTTTTATCATGCGAATGTTTTTTTAATTTATTTTATTCTCGAGAATTAAAATGCGATAGTTATCGGAGGATATTGTGGGATATTACTGTCAAATTGATTCTTCTTCTGCAAAAATATGATTATAAAAAAACAAAAGAAAGGAAAAAAAGAAATAGAAAATCTATCTTGTTTCGATGATCTACGTATGCTAATGAATATATATATATATATATAAAAAGAAAAAAGAAAAAAAAGAAAAAAAAACACATATGTATATATATATAGTAGATATATATGTGTTTTTATATACACAAAAAGACAAACACACAAGTCACCGCATAAGAATAACGACTATAAATTCCTAGTTCTTTTTATATAAAACGATACATGCAGCGCGAGTAGTCTGTATTGATTTGTGCAGTAAGTCGTATAAATATAATACGATACTCAAAGTAATTGGCTTCCTAGCTAGGATTAATCGAATCTTAGGGATTATATACGTTTATGAATGCAAAGATAATGAATATACGTATTAGTAGAACTGTATATAGCGATATATGGTAGTCAAATACTAAGTATCGATTGTCTGTTTAAGAAAAAAGCCAGAATTCACATGGTTCAATGATATGTCGAAACATCATTTCGTTTACTCTTGCTTAGAATAACGAGAATATTAATTAAATCATGGGACTGTACGAATTAACACGATTCATCATTAAACTTCAGATTTAATATTTTGTCTTTTTCATAATTATATCAGTCTGGAAAACAGGGTATTCTCTAACATGATATGTTTAGATTACTATCAAAGAAACCATTATTACATTCATTAACGCATGAGGTGCCATTTTTCAATACATATGTTCCTTTTTTTAGTTCATATCATAATTTTTAATCATTATAAAAAAAAAAAGAAAAGATAAAAATTGCATTTCAAGGGTTCTTTCTTAACCAGGCCATCGAATTATCGTTGAATGTACTAAGCTACAATAATAATATAAAAGCTTACACCTCGCAGACATACAGCCTCTGCCACTAAATGTATATAAGGATATATTATATGTAAAACAAATAATAGATAGTGTTAATTGATTTTTAAAGTGATCATTTAGAAAGAGGCAAATATGTTACTGCAAACCGCCCAGAAGTGAAGATCTACACGCTATTTTTAATTAGAATAAGCTTTAAAACTTTTAACCAGAAAGGGACGATATTATTTTTCATGTTTTAATTCGTTCCTTTGATTCGTTCAATCGTCAAATAGTTAAATTAAAAAGGCTCATATCTCTATGTTTTAGTCATACAATATATCCCGATAATAATGAATTATGATCCCATAAGAAAGATTTTAAAAAAATTTAACATGTGTAGTAATTTATATCTGATGTTTAAATGTAATATGTATATTGAGAAGAATGAAAGAGAGGGAGCTTTGAATAGTGCCTGCTTAAGAAATCCAATTTACTGTATCTGTAAATGGTTAGTTATGATATGTACGTTATTTTGTACATGGTAAACCCAATAGAACTACTATAGCCAAGTATGGGAAAAAGTGTAAATATAGAATCAGTTCATTAGTTTCATAATTGTGCATATTATTATACAAAATAGAAAACGCTTATCTCAAATAGATTTTTCTTCAATTTTTTAGAAAAATTCTTACAAATACGTTTTGGATTTTTACCGCGTATAAGAATTATAAGAATATATATTTACATTAAGAATATATATTTAAACAATTCAAAGAAATTTAATTTAAAAAAATATTCCTTTTCAAAATGTTCTATCTTATATTTTTCTTATATTTCAATATATTGCATAATTTTTTAACTTTTACTTTAATCATGCTTTATAATTTTAGTGATTCATACTATTATATCATATCACTCTTCCCCATACTATATTATAAGTTCATGTTATTCAATATTCTTAAATGTACATAAAACTTATGTGGTCGTAATAATTGTATGTAAATACTGTTAAACGTTCTAACTTCTCTGATATGAATATAAGAAAAATTGGTTATTTAGTATAATTCTGACTTAAGATTTGACTTACTTTTATCTCAGACTCCTTTATTTGCAATGTGGTATCCATTACTGCTCCACCAATTACAATCTATAACATAAACAATAACATAAACAAATTGCATAATAAACAAAATAGATAATGTTATATACATTTTAGAATATATAAATATTTCTTTTTTTACTTACTGGATTTCGCTTTGATACAAAAATGCATTCGGATGTGTTATTGTTAAAAGAATTTTGAAGATATTTTTTTGCCAAATTCACTGCAATTTCTGCTGCTACGCTTGCATTATTTTCTATGAGTGCCATATCTCAAATAATTTAAAAAAAATATATGAATTAAACATTTATCTTATATATACTTTTTTTAATTTTATATCAAAGAATTTAATTACTTACTAGCTTGAAGAGATTGACCATGTGTAATTCTATTTAATTCTTCTAGTAAAAATGGTGTAACATTCTTTCCACTGATATTTTGATATTTTGCATTTTCTAGAGCTTTATGTATAGCTGATTCCATTTCTTTAGAATCTAATGCATACTTTTCAGGAATAGGGACAGTAAACAATATTCCTGTTTGAAAACCTAATTCTCTTTGTTTTTTAAGAATTTCTGTTGCTTCTTCTGAAGTTGATACTCTATGTGGTGCTTTTATTTTCTGAAATGTTTCAGTGCAATAAAATGCAGGAAAATAATTTGTTTTACCAATTTTTATAACTGGAACTCCATGAGTTTCCTACAAATAAAAATAGTTGCAAATATCTATTGTAATAATTATTTTTTAAAAAATACAAAAAAAAAATATATTAACCAGATATTCTAATGTCTTTTCAATGTCTAATATAGATTTAACACCAGAACAAACAACAGCTACAGGAGTACGTCCAAGTTCTATTAAATCAGTACTAATATCAAAAGTCATTTCTGCCCCACGGTGAACACCACCAATACCTCCAGTTGCCATTATAGGCAAATGTAATAGATTTGCTATTAACATTGTTGCACTAACAGTTGTTCCCCCATTTAATTTTTGAGCAACAATTGTTGATATGTCTCTGCTTGAACACTTAACAGTTTTAGAATGTGATTCTGCTAATATTTGCAGTTGTTCATTATTTAAACCAACATGTATTTGTCCATTTAAAATTCCTATAGTTGCAGGTACAGCACCCTAAAATAACATAAAAAGTATTTGTATTTTTTTTATTTTTTTTTCAATAATTTATAAATCATTTTTTTCACTTTTTTTCTGATAATATTTTCCACTTGAATAGCTGTCTTTAAATTATCAGGATAAGGCATTCCATGAGTAATAATTGTGGATTCTAAGACAACAATTGGTAATTCATTTTTTTTTGCCATTTCTACATCATGACTATAAATAAAAATTTTGCAATTATTACTAGCTTGACGGTTATTTAATAAATTGATCTGTTTCACTGCTCCAAGACATCTTCGAAAATTCATCCACTGCATTTTTATATATTTTTTCTAAATATATATAAATTATTATTAAAAAAATATTTGAATATAGTTTGTTTTTTTATCGTTTAACGATAGACTGAAATGGTAAGTTAAAAACGATATTTACATTGAATATTGATAATATGTATATTATCCATAGGTTATCAAATATCTTAAATATTCTTAAAAGAAATTTAAAAAAAGATTGCATAAATTATACACGTATAATTAATATAGATTTTATAATGGAAATAAAATTTAGTATAACAAATAATTATATGGGAAATTTAATTAAATATAAATTTCGATAAAAAATTTTTTAGATTTATTTGCTTGCGTTGCTTTAATTCAAAAAGTATATAATCTTAAATTATCCATTGATTATTATAAGCATTTTATATTTTAAACATAAATATAACAATTTTTCATTATTATTAAATGTATTAAAATTATTTAACACAATTATCCAAAAAATTTTAATTATAAAAAATTTAAATATAGTGAAATACTAATTATTTTCTAATTTAATCATATTTATTGATATATAATTTTTTATTACTTATAATTTTTTTAAAGATATCATTAAAAATATAAATATGTAATAAAAATTTTTTTAATAAATAATGCAATTATTAACATATTTTAAATATCTAATTGATTTTAAGAAAATATTAATAAATAAAAGAAAGAGAAATAAATAAATATTATGTCTATTACGAAAAATATACAATATATGTAAGTATATAAATATAAGTAAATAAATATAAATTTATTTTTAAATTAACCATACATTAGATGTAAAACAAATTCATTTCCTTTGTAATTTTATTATTATAAGTATTGAATTTCGATCTAGACAATCAAAAATATAATGCATATTATAATATACATATTATATATGTTATATTTTTTCTTTTTTAATACTTTAAATATAAGATTGTTTAATATATTTTCATATTATGATAATGAAACATATTTAAATTTTTTTAAGAACTATGATAATGCACATAATTTATAGAAAAAAAGTCAATTCTTTTTAGTTTTAGTGTAAGTAATAAATATAATAAAATACTTAATTTTATTTCTAATCAATTAAATAAATTTTTATTAAATTCCTTTCATTAAACATTCATAAATATACAAATTAATGTATATTATAATAATTGATTTATCAATAAGAATAAATTTATAATAATATAAAATATAAATACAAATTAAAAATATGTTAACACATTGTGAATTTTATATTTCATTTTGCAAAAATATTTACATATTTTACATAATGTATTATATTATATCAATAAAAAATTAATTTTTTGTTTTTGAAAATTACATTGATTATATAATTTGTTTAATTTTAATTTCATTCTTATTTATTTTTATTATTACAAAAGAAAAATATTAAATTGTGTATATTAAATATATTCAATATTAAAATAAGGCATCCACATAATTTCTATATTCCTGTCTGAAGTACGCATGATACGTAAGTAAATACATGTAATCGAGTATGATTTCGTCAGTCGATGTCTTACATTTGAAGAGTTGAGTTCAAAAATTAAATTCAAAAGTTGTAGACATAAATAAGTTTATTAGTATTATTATCGCAAAAAAATAAAAATCTGAATTTAAAAATATAAATATGAAATCAAAAAAATCAAGTAACATCGGAATATTGTATTTAAGAGCTTATAATCTTTTACAAACTATTGGGTATGCATTATTAATTTTTTAGTTCCAATAAATTATGTTAAAAATATGTATAAAAATATTTTATTGTCATAATTATTTAAAAGATGAATATATTTATGTAAAACTTATAGTTACTTGAAATATGAATATATATAATATATTATAATAATAAAAATATTTGATACAACATCAAAATATAAAAAAAAATATTTCTATAAATATTTATAAAATATTAAAAATTAGAATAATATATAATAAATATTATTTTTGCAGTTGGTCTTACATATTATATAAACTCTTAACAAATGATTATTCTTCTACAATAGAAGCAAATTTATGGCAGAATATAAAATGGCCTGTCATTATTTTTCAACATGCTGCTCTTTTAGAGGTAGATAAATAATTTTTAATTTAATTTTGATTACAAAATGTTAAATGACAAAATATATATTTTTTAGGTAATTCATGCTGCAACTGGTTTAGTTAATGCAAAAGCAATGATTACACTTATTCAAGTATTAAGTCGTGTTTTTGTTGTAAGTTGTGTAATTTTAGCAACTCCATATAATTATGCAGCTTCATCTTTTGCTCTTCCAATAATGATCTTAGCATGGTGTATATCAGAAATAAATAGATATATATTTTATGGTCTGAATCTTTTTGGACTTAATCCTTATTTTGTTAAATGGCTAAGGTATTTAATAATTTATAGATATCATATTTAAGTTGTTAGGATTTTTTTTAACATTTAAAATTGAAATATTTTAATTTTTCAGATATACATTATTTTATATATTATATCCAGTTGGTGTAAGTGGAGAATTAATATGTACATATTCAGCAGTAAAATATACAAATTCTCACCCAGAAGCATGGAGTTATAGACTTCCTAACTCATGGAATTTTATATTTAGTTATCAAATTCTACTTATAACTGTTATGTTATCATACATTCCCTGTAAGTTTTCCAAATTTTATATTTATTATTGATTGATTTATGTTATTTTATAAAATTTTTTTTTCCAGTTTTTCCACAAACATATATGCATATGATTGCTCAAAGACGTAAAAATGTGGGAAGTGATGCCCTTAAAAAAGCTAAGTAATATGAATGAAGTTTAGCACATATTAATAATATTTTATAATATTTTGTTGAAAATAAATATTGTAATATTTTATAAAAATTGTATATAGTTGTTTCTATTTCAAAATATTATTTGAATTGTATGTGTGTATGTGTGTATGTGTGTACGCGCGTGCATATATATATATATATATTTTAATTACATAGTATGATACTAAATTTAAAAATTTAAAAATTTAAAAATTCTTCAAGAATAAAAACAAAAACAAAAATTGGACATGTTTAATAACATCTTTAATAAAATCATTTACAAAATTTCTATATAAAAAATTATACAAAATTCATAAATTAAAAGTAGCATTTGTTTAATTCTTATATTTATTTTAATTAATACATTTTCTTAATTAAAATTATTTGAGTTAAATCAAAATAAGAATTTTATATTATTGTTATTGATTTTACATCATTGTTATTTATATTTATTTTATTTTATTTTATTTAGGTAACATATAACAATTTATAATAATATTGTTCAATATAGAAAAAAAACAAAATACAGAATTTTTTTAGTATTGCTTCAATGCATTTAAACGTACACAAAGTTAGTTGTATTATAACCTATTTTAACTGCATATTCAAGTTCTAAGTATGTATACAAGATATTGTAGTTATTTTTTTTAATCACTAAAACAAAACTGTTTTGCTTAATATTATTTGAAGAAATTGTACAAATTTTGAAATATGTCTGAACACAATGAAGATACAGAAAAAGGTAATATTTTCAAATCATTTGTTTAATATAATAAAATTCAATTTTTCTTTTATTTAAAATTTTTTTCGAATTATAATTTCAAAATATAAAAAATTAAATTTTCCATTTTAATGGAAATATATCTATATTTTTATGATAAAACCAAGAATATTTTAATTGAAATTCTTGGTTTCACAATTCAATATATCGATATATTTATCAAATAAAATATTCAAGAACTTTTATTATTTTTTTTTAAATTTTTTATAATATAAATATTTATATAGTATAACATAAATAAGAAACCTTATATGAAACTCTATCATAATGGTAGAGGTTAATTGCTATCCATAATAGTTTAAGAAAGTTTATTAAATAAAATAGTTAAAAGAATTTTAAAAAATTGTCGTTTAACTGTAATTGTTGTATTTTAGATATTTAGATTTTTACATTATTTTTACAAAATTTTAGATAATTGTTAAATGACATGTGTTTTTGCTGAGATATATTACGATATCGTAACATTACAATATCTGTTTACAATATGTCAAAATGTTTTCATATATCATTTTTCCTTTAATTAATCGACAATTATTCGTATTACATTTTTGGCGAAAATCTCTATTTATATATTTTTATCGGAATCAATACACATTAATTTCTTTAAATAATTTGAATGTTTTTTTTTCTTCAATAGGTTTAGTTTATTTAATTATTTTTAATGCTTTAATGAAACATATTACATTTTTTAATAATAAAATAAAATTGACTAATTTTTACAAAATCACTAATAATTTTATTAATATAACTTTATGACATTCAAATCTCACATTAAATTTATGATAAAAAAATAATTTATTTCTATTGTATATTATTAATATTATTTAATATTATTATTATTAATATTATATTTAATAATTTGTATTAGAGAAAAAATCAAATGAGGAAACAACAAATAATTCTTCAAAACAAGAGGAGATAGAAGAATCTGATATGGAAAAGATTCGTAAATATTTAGCACAGAAGTTGAGACTTTTTGATTCATCAAATAATAATGAACAAAACAATCCACAAAAAGTCCTCCGTGAACTTAGCATAGATGGAATAGTAGATTATATAAAAGAAAAAGAAAATTGTAAAATTATTACTATGGCTGGAGCTGGTATCTCTACATGTGAGTTTTTTCTAAGTTGCAATTGTAAATATATATTATATTTCTTTTATTATATTTCTTATATTTTTTAGCTGCAGGAATTCCTGATTTTCGATCACCAACAAGTGGTCTTTACCATAATTTAGAAAAATATAATCTACCTCATCCTCAAGCTATTTTTGAATTAGATTTTTTCATGGAAAATCCTGAACCATTTTTTATGCTTGCAAGAGAATTGCTACCTGATGATGGTTTTAAACCTACACCATCTCATTATTTTATTCGTCTTTTATGGGAGAAGGGATTACTCTTAAGACATTATACACAAAATATTGATACATTAGAAAGAGTTGCTGGTTTACCACCTGAAAAATTAGTAGAAGCTCATGGTACATTTCATACTGGCCGATGTCTTAAATGTAGAGCACCATATACTCTTCCATGGATGAAAGGTAAAATTTTTCTTGTTTATAAATATGTATTTTTCATTAAATACTAAAATCATGATTATTATAATTATATAATATAATCCAATAATATAATAATATAATATATTAATAATTAATTTAATTACAGAAAAAATTTTTAAAAATATTATACCAAAATGTGAAGAATGTAATGAGGGTATAGTAAAACCTGACATAGTATTTTTTGGAGAAATGTTACCTGAACGTTTTCATTATCTTGCCGATCGTGATTTTTTACAAGCAGATCTTTTGATAATTATGGGATCAAGTTTGGTTGTTCAACCTTTTGCATCTCTAGTAGATAGGTAAGTATGTTATTTGTTAATTTCTCTGTTTATTATTTATTTTTACTTATTTATTTATATTTTTTATTTATTTATATTTTATTTATTTACTTATTATTTATATTTATTTATTTTGCTATTAATATTAATTAATCTTGTATATCATTATTAATATAAAATATATTACATTACAAAATTACTTGAATTATTTAAATGAATAATTTTAATTTTATTAAAGGGTTCGACCTAATTGTCCACGTTTACTTATCAATAAAGAAAAAGTAGGTACGCAAGATCGCTTATCACGACTTCTGGGATTACGACATGGTTTGATGTTTGATACTCATTCTAATGGTGGTCGCGATGTTGCTTGGTTAGGAGACTGTGATACTGGTTGTCAGTTATTAGCTGATAAACTGAGTTGGGGTGTAGGTTTTTTTTAAATTAATTTTTTTAAATTAATTTTAATGTGTTTGAAATATTAAATGAATTTTAAATTACATAAATTTATTCGTTTTCAGGATGAATTGAAAGATCTTATAAAAAGAGAACATGAACGTTTAAATAGAGAATAAATCAATAATAATTGAATCTAAATGTCTTATTATAACATATATTTAGCTTATAGGTGATTTGGAAATTTTAATTTTATTGCTATTTCCTACAAAAAAAAAATATTATATAGACAAATAATATTTTTCTTCAAAGGAATTGTAATAAAATTGTTTAAAATGTTAAAAGTTTATATATATGACGATATAGAAAAGTCATATTTTTATGTCTCTGTGCCGTCATTTTTTATAAAAAATTATTAAATTAATGATGACTATAATTTTTGATAAGACATATGATTTTTTATGATATGAAATTAATTCGATACTATATTCATATTGTAAGTATATTTTATTTGCAATTATAACAATTTTAATAGATAACAAATGATCAATAATGTAAATAATTTATTTCTTCATATAATAATAATATTATGCAAATAAATATGATTTTTGGCAGTTGAATTATGTGTATGAATAAAATAATATAATAAAATATATAATATAATATGAAAATTATTTTATATTAAAAGGTTTTATTATAACTTCCTGAGCTTCCTGTTGATGTAACTTACCTTCACCTACAGCTGGCGCAGCCATAGGTTTACGACCGCTATATTTTATCTATAAGTAAATTTTATTATTTGTACAAATATGTATTTGAAATATTTATATTTAAATATTTAAATTATTAACTTACTGGTTTACCACATAAATTTTCAAAACGAGGCTTGATAAAATTCCATGCTCCCATATTTTGTGGCTCTTCTTGACTCCATATAAAAGCTTGAAGAATAATTTTTATTAATATTTAAAATATATTTAAATATATATTTTTTATACTTACTTTCTACATATTTAAATTTATTAATCTCTCGCAACAGTTCTTGAATTGGAAAAGGGCATAAACTTTCAATCCTAATAATTGCTACGTTTTTCTGTTCTGTACTTTCTCTGAAGTGATTAAGAGCATAATAATGTTTTCCGCTGACGAAAATCACTTTATCCACTTTTGATTTTTTTATCTTTTCATCTCCTATTAAATTATTATTTATTTTATGATATTGAATATATTGATATTAAATATAAAAATAATAATTTTTTATTTTTTATTATAGTAAATATACCTATAACGGTTTGAAATTTAGTCTGAGGTTCCATATCTGTTATTGGCGAGGTGGCTGCAGTATGACGCAACAATATTTTTGGAGCTACTATTATTAAAGGTTTTCGAAAATTTCTCAGCATCTAAAAGATGTAGATAATTTATAATATCGAATATATAAAAAAATCAGAATTAAAAATTTTTATTTCATATATATCAAAATACACGTGTACACGTAAATGAAAGCGAACTAATCTATAATTTTTATTACATAGTTTTTATTATAAAGATATTTATCTATTTATATTACATATACACACATACATATCATTTTCATACATCATAATATATTTTAGATATATTTTTGTATTTTTATATTATATATACATTTTTTTATATATTTATATTTTTTTTTATTTTTTGTTTTTTTTTTCCAAAAAAATTTTTTTCTATAGTGTTCAATACTTTTCTTATTTACATACAGATTCCTTTACGATATTTCTCAAACAAATATTTTAAATTATCAATGTGTTTTTTCTTTTTTTTATAACTATTAATAAAGTACATTTTATATATAAATTATATATAAAATATATAAAAAAATTTTCAAAAATCGATACCATTTCGCGTTGGAAGCTTCAATTTATAAATAGGAACATAGAATGTGTGAGGAGTTATACAAACAAAAACAACAACAGATAAATTGGATAATGTATAAAAATTGAAATAAACACTATCTTCAGAGTATTATAAATGAAACTAAATAATATGAAAAAAAAGATAAAAAAAAAAATTAACTATTGACTATCTCTTTTGAAAAAAAATCTCTTAATTTTAAATAAAATATAATATTGAAAATTAATTCCAATTTTTTAGTAAAAATTTTTACACTTTTAACTTTATATTTCAAAATTAAAATTTTTTTTATACTACGATATCTCAGCATAAAAAAAAAATTAAAAAAAAAATTTTACATATTTATTTCTGTTACGATTATTATATTGATATAAATTGTATATATAAGTATAGTATACTATAAAATTGTATATTCGAACAAAAAATTTTAATGTCAGAAATTTTAGGAGAATATAATCTAAGAAAGAAATAAAAACATTAAATTTTTACTTTCAAGAATATAAATTTTTAAAAAGCTATGTTTATATCAGCGGATAATATATATCTATAGTAAAAATCAATTTTTAAACTTTTAATAATATTATATACATCCCGTGTATACATGTATTTTAATATATATTCAAGAGCATGATTTCTAATCAAAATGTGCATCTTACTTGTCTTCTTAGTAGATGAAAATATTGAGCAGGTGTTGTTGGATTTGTCACGTGCATGTTAACATTATCACCATCAGGTTTATCTTCATTACTATCTGTAAGTTGTAGAAATCTTTCAAGTCTACAGGAACTATGTTCAGGACCAGCACCATCGTAACCATGTGGTAGTAATATCGTTAGTCCGCTATTTAGCATCCATTTTGCCTCACCACTGGTTACAAAGGTATCGATCATTATCTGAGCTCCATTAAAAAAATCTCCAAATTGTGCTTCCCATATCGTCAAAGTAGTTGGCAGAGCTATACTTATACCATATTCATAGCCTAGAACTGCTTCTTCGGATAATATACTATTTGCTAATTCTAATTTTCCTGTTTGTCCATCAACCATGGAATTCAATGGAATATGTATTTCTAAAATCATAATTAACATAATCTTATTATTATATAATTTAAAGTTAAAATTATTTTTTGAATACCTCCAGTAGATTGATCAACTAGCATTGCATGTCTATGAGAAAACGTTCCACGACCTATGTCTTGTCCACTTATTCTGACATTATATCCTTGATACAATAAAGTTCCAATTGCCAAAGCTTCAGCTGTTGCCCAGTCCAAGTGTTTATTTTTTGTTATTTTGTTTAATCGAGTTTTTATATGATTTTTTAATAATTTTGGATGAATTATCTATTACGTAAAATATTTAGTTAATTAAATAAATAAAATATTTATAATATTTTTAATAATTAATATATATTTAAGTTCTCATAATGACATATTCTCACCACATCATCCTTAATATGAACACTCTTTTCGGCAATAAATTTCAATAAGTTTAAATCAACTCCTGTGTTCCATTCTGTCACACTTGCCTCAGCTTGTTTTATTCCAGTCCACAAGCCCTCAAAATATGTAGGCTGTGGAATAAAGTTATCCATTTCATTTAAACTTTGATTTAGTTGAGAATTATAATTATCAATAATATTTTTAACTTTATTCGTCGAAAGAATATTGTTTTCTATCAGCTTATTCACATATTTATCTGGTACCGATCTAATTGAAAATAACAAAATTAATTAGATATTTTGTAAGTATAAGTGAAAAATACTCACGGACGATTATGTATAATTTTATAAATAACAGGATTCGTAAAAACAGGATCATCTAGTTCATTGTGGCCCCATCTTCTAAAGCAATTTAGATCCACGAAAACATCTTTTCTAAATTTTCGTTGGTATTTGAAAGCTATTTTAGCAGCTCGGACAACCATCTACAACATTACATATTATTTAAAATATTTAATTTCATATATATTTAAGCGCAAAGACAATTAAAAATTTTCTCTTTTCTATGCACCTCTGGATCATCTCCATTTACGTGAATCACGGGAGCTGAAATCATCTTGGCTAGATCCGTGCAATATCTTGACGATCTACCCCTAGAAGTTGGAGTTGTAAAACCTAATTGATTATTGATTATCAAGTGAACTGTTCCACCTATTTCAAAATGAGGAGTTGCGGATAACGCTAAACATTCTTGATCAACACCTTGAGCAGCGTAAGCTGCGTCTCCATGAATCTGAAATAGAAGTTAATCGATATATTTCGACAGTTATATACAATCTTTAATTTTATTATGGAATTAAATTTAAATTAATTTACTTGAATATTTAACACTTTATCGCTCCATTGAGTATTTATATCCTCGTTATATGCTCCATCTTTGACAGCTTGCATCATTCCTCGAGTTTTTCCCATGGAAACAGGATTCACAGCCTCTAAATGTGAAGGATTTCGCAACATTGTTACGTGAAGCTTTTTTTGACCAAAATTAAGATTTGTGGAAGATACAAAATGGCTGATCACATCTCCAGTTGTAACTACATCATCCGGAAATTCAGAGTATCCTTGTAATTTTCGAAATAATTTTTCCAGTGGAAAATTCAACATCCCCGTAAGAAAATTTAATCGACCTCGATGGGGCATACAAAGCACGATGTATTCCAAATCATCTGTAATTCATTTATAGATACGTTCATAGTTTAATTTTGAATTTGTTAAGTATGTATAAAATGATTCGTGGGATTTTTTAAACATTAATTTTTTATTCACCATTAGCACAGAGTTTAAAAAATTCATGATAGAAGGCCATCATGCTTTCAGCACCTTCGCCACTATATCTTTTAAAGCTTGCGAATTTGATAGCCAAAAATTGATCGAAAGTTTGACTCTTCAACATTTCTATCGCAATGGCCACTCGCGTTTCATCCGTTAGAGGATCTTTTAAACATTTTTCTACAGTTTCCGCAAACCATTCTCTCTCTTCCTCGGTCTGTGTAGACATTAACAGAAATCAGGTATTTATATATATCTTCTATAAAGAAATAAATGTTAATATTTAAGCTTTGATAAACTTTTGATTATTTTAAATTTTGACGATCAATTATTACCTCCAAGTAACTAAATTCTACTCCTACCGAGCCACAGTATGTTTTGTTTAAAAATTGTAAAGCCTCTTCTATGGTACCTTCCTCTTTTCCCATTGTTAAAATACCTTTAAAGGAAACTTTATCTCGCAAATTCAAGCCAAATCTTTCTGGTTTTAATTCTACTAATGATATTGGTTTTTTTGGCGAGATAGGATTTATATCGGCTTGTTTATGACCGAATTCTCTATAGGCAATGACCAGTCTGTAGAAATTGCTATTCTTTGATCGTATATCCAGATATTCTTTTGAAACTAATAATATGAAAAATAATAATGTAAAAAAATCATTTATATGATAAAAAAATCAAAATATTTTTATTATATATGTAATCTTATTTTGTAATATATTAATTTGTAATATGTAATTTATTTTAGTTTTATCGCGAAATTATATCATTAGTTTACGTAATGTTAAAAATTTTCCGATGTTTATTATCATCATTCTAGATTAATATATAAAATGTTTTCAAAATGATTTTTAAATGTTTTATTATTATTTTAAATAAAAATAATTGAAGGATATATATATATATATATATATATATATATATTCTAATTATAATTCAAAACATATAATTAAAAACATATAGTTAAAAACATATAAATTAAACATATAAATTAAATAATAAATAATATGAAAATAAAGTAAAAAATATAAATATAAAACTATAAAATAAAGATATTTCATTAATATAAATATTTATGAATTAATAATTAATTTTAATTATATCATAGAAATTATATATAAAAAAATTTTTATTTTTTGTCATTTAAAAAATTCATCCATATTAAATTATTATTGTGTATGTATTATTTTTTAAAAGGAAATAATAAATTTCGTGTTTAAATTTATGCATAGTACTGATAAATAAAAAATTTTTATATAATTTTTGGATAGTTATTTGGACAAAAGCAAGGAATTAAAATGAAATTTTTGAAATTTTAATTTAATATTTTGTGATTAAAATATAATTGATATATAATTTTATATTATATTCTTTATATTTTGGAAATATAAATAACAAAATTTGAAAATAGGCATAAAGTAAGAATAGTTTATTTCATAAAAATTTGTATTCTTATTTATAATTTGAAGATGTATCTATAAAACATATTAAATTCTTAGTACTATTACGCGAAAATTTTAATTCTTATATTTGAAATTCAAATTATGTTCTTATTCATAAATCTAACATAAATATTAATAGAATATATTAATATTAACAGAGTCAAATTTTATATTTTGACCCAATATCATTTTTATTATTTTTTATTTTAAAACAAAAAGAATAATAATAATAATAATAATAATAGATATACCTTCAAAATATTTCTGTGGACTCGATCTGTATCCATAGACACCATTTTCACTATGATACAATCGCGTTGAGATATTTAATCGAGAATTTATGCATTTTATAACTAGATAATTATTTACCCATTGAAAACATGAATGTTTGATTTTATAAAATGTTCGTAGAATCGCATGCATTCTTGTTTTCGTTACGAAATCAACTACTTAACTGGCAATTCTTTCTCTATCGTATTGCTCAAGCTAATTTATTACTTCTTTCCCCTTCTTAATCACTTTATTCAATATTATCTATTTACTCGAGATTGTCTGTATCATAAATATTGTTAATGGTCAATGTATATAAAACGATATTTATATATTCAAATCAAAAATAAAATTTATTTATTCAATGCAAATAGCATCAATACAAATATTATTGATGATTCAAATTTGTTTTCAATATAAAATTTTTTAAATGGTATATAACATCTATACCTCATATATTCGTTAATATAATTTTTATAATCGTAATCAAATATACTAGAAAATTATCTTTGTTTTCTTGAAAATATAAATAAATTTATCTTAATAAATTTATATTTTTGGATAGGCTGTTTCTATCGCGTCACTTCCTTTATACTTAAATTTAGAAGTGACGATATCAAACTTTGTTCCTCCAAGAGACATTGGACAATTTCCGTCAGGCCTTGCATAAAAACACACTGTGTACAGTGCCATTTCCAGTTCGGGTGAGGTACCCACGAATAATGTCGTTACCGGTTTAATATATCCATATTGTGATCGTACTTCAATAATAGAAGCTTTCTAAAAAGCAAATAACACATATGAATATAATTAGCCATTATTTGTATGATACAAATTCTCATAAAGTACCATAAACAGTAAATGAAACAATAAATACTAATAATAGAATAGAATTCATTATGCAATAAATATATATTCATTATATGTTTTTTAAATTAATAGAATCTTAAATAAATAAATATAAAAAAAATATTCTTTTCATTATTATAATAAAAAAATAATATCAAAATGATCTTTAAAAAAGTACTTAACTTACATCTCCGAGTTCAACTTTTTTTGTATATCCACTGTAATTTACGTTTCCTTTGCTTTCTTCTTTACTGTAGAAAATCCAATTATGCAATCCAACTACATTAGTTTCAGTTTTTAACTTCTTAACTTCGGACATGAAAACATGTTCAAAAGCCGAGCTACTAATCTTTTCTCCTTCTTGAGAGTATAAGTTAAACCATAATTTTCGTAACATATCTTTGTACTCGTAATAATCATTACATATATGATCTTTATTCGCCAAGAATCTCATGGCGGCGGACATCACATTCGTGTTGAGAAATGTATCTATTAAAGCATTCTCTTCGTGTCGGTGCTGTAGACTTATATTCCCGCTTACATTACCTTGGGTATTGTATTTCTCATACATTGATATAACTTTTTGAATTGTGGGTCCTTTATATGCTTGTGGATTTACCGTGAATAATCTGCAAATTACAATTATTTTAGGAAAGTGGAAATTTTTCATTTTTTTCATTAATAAATTTAGTGACATGTATTATTAGTAGAAACATTGTAAGTAAATGTCTCCTTCTAGGAAATTTTATAGGAATAGGAAATTTTGAAAGCTTACGGTTGTGATGCTTCGTCTGTTGTATCATTACTGTTCGTCTTTTTTTGTAAATTCAATTTGATATATCTATTCACGTTATTAGTATCTTTCATAAATAGAGCCTCAGAAAGCTTTTCTAAATCTTCTTTAGTAATGGTGCGGCCTTTGCTGTAAGTAGGATTACTAGAATAGATATTCTCAGTTGCTCCTGTTAATGGCCCAGATTTTGACGATTGATCTATTTATTAGACAAAAATATGATAATCTTCTCTTCTTTCATTAGTTGATAATACATTTTTTTTCGTTATTATACCTGGCTTTAATTTGTCCAATTTTATTACAGTAGTATCAGAAGTATCAACATGAGGAATATCAAACTTTTTTATCGGTGATGTACTGGATGATTGAAAGGATTTTGATATTTCTTGAGATAAAAAAATATTATAGTTAAAATCATTTTACTTTATTGCAATAGATGTGTATTATTACTTACCAAGTGTTTGTACGTGAGAGTGAAATTCAGATTGAAGTTCTTGATTTTGTAAGTGAGATTGAAGTTCAGATTTTTGAAGATGAGGTTGAGGTTGAGGTTGAGGTTGAGATTGAGGATGAGGATGAGATTGAGGATGAGGTTGAGGATGAGAATGAGGTTGAGGATGAGAATGAGGTTGAGGATGAGGATGAGGATGAGGATGAGGTTGAGGTTGAGGATGAGGTTGAGGGTGAGGTTGAGGGTGAGGTCGAGGGTGAGGTTGAGGGTGAGGGTGAGGGTGAGATTGAGGGTGAGATTTAGGGTGAGGTTGAGGGTGAGGTTGAGGGTGAGGTTGAGGGTGAAGTTGAGAACGAGGTTGAGGATGAGGTTGAGAATGAGATTGAGGATGGGATTGAGAGTGAGGTACAAGAGGGAATTGAAAATGAGGTAGAGGTTGAGGATGAGATTGAGAACGAGGTTGAGGATAGGGTTGAGAGAAAGGTAGAAGAGGGAATTGAAAGTGAGGTTGAGGATGGGGTGGAGAGAAAGGTGAAAGAGGGAATTGAAAGTGAGGTTGAGGTTGAGGTTGAGGATGAGGATGAGGTTGAGGATGAGGATGAGGATGAGGATGAGATTGAGGATGAGGATGAGATTGAGGATGAGGATGAGATTGAGGATGAGGATGAGATTGAGGATGAGATTGAGGATGAGGATGAGGTTGTGGATGAGATTGAGGATGAGGTTGAGGATGAGGATGAGGATGAGGTTGTGGATGAGGTTGAGGATGAGGTTGAGGATGAGGATGAGGATGAGATTGAGGACGAGGTTGAGGATGAGGATGAGGTTGAGGATGAGGATGAGGTTGAGGATGAGGTTGAGGATGAGGTTGAGATTGAGGTTGAGGTTGAGGATGAGGATGAGATTGAGGATGAGGATGAGGTTGAGGATGAGGTTGAGGTTGAGGATGAGGATGAGGTTGTGGATGAGGTTGAGGATGAGGTTGAGGATGAGGTTGAGGTTGAGGTTGAGGTTGAGGATGAGGTTGAGGATGAGGTTGAGGTTGAGGATGAGAATGAGGTTGAGGTTGGGGTTGAAGCTGAGGTTTTTGAAGTTGAGATTGAGAATGAGATTGAGATTGAGATTGTTGTTGTGAGAATATGCTTCCTATCGTCGAAATTGTTTTGATACCTTTAATTTAAGAAAAGATTAATTATTTTCAAAATTAAATTTTCTAGTTTTCTTTATTCTTTGCATAAGGTTTTTTTTTTACCTGATGTTTGTGTTGTTGCAGATACAGAATTTGATTTGAAATCTACGAAATACAACAAATAATCAAATTTATTTAATACCATAATATAAAAAATAAAAAAAATTTATAAAATCCAAAAAATAATCAATCAACCTCTGTTAGTTATTGATTTTTGAACAGAAATTTTTAAGGATTTGATATATTCGAGAAATTCTTCTGCAGAAATTCCTAAAGTGGCAAACCATGTTTTACATCCTTCAGGAGTATTATCATTTATTTTTTCCAATTTTGAGATATCAAAAGTCATTTCTGCTCCTGTACTTGATTTATTTGAACGGATATTATTTATCATAGTCAAATTGACTCCAGTTACTAATGTAGGATCACTTTCTTTGAGAATACTTGGTACAAAAATTGTAGCCATTGTTATTTCTTCTTTACCCTTATCCTTGTTCCAGAATTTCCATTCTGCCTCTACGTTAGCTAAGAAATTTATTAAAATTAGGATAGATATTTTTATTATATTATTTAGGATAGATATAATTGTATAGAAAAATTAATATTAAAAATATTTTCTTACGCTTGTTAAAAGGGGTCATCGTAGCTGTTTTAAGATTTTAAGATACAATTAAGGTGAATAATATCAATCATTATTTTATATATATATATATAAATGAAGAAAAGAATATTCGAGATTAAAAACAATTATGACGTTGACATAATTATAATTCTTTTTTATACTCTGTTGTGACTTATCTTAATCAAAAATGCCAAACATTTCACGCTTCGAAACCTCATATTTCTCTTCTCGTTTTAAGTGATATAATAAAGTTATGTATAAGCGTGAACTCATGATAACCTTGAGGATATGCAAAAGAACAAAAGAAACGCAGTGGTGTGCTTAGAATTCGATATTACATACCTTTGTTGCAAAAGATAATAATTTTCTAAATAACTTTCTTATAACATTTTTATATAGTTTCATATGATATATTAAATAATATTTAAATTTCTAAAATATATAGAATAATATAAAGTAATAAAATATATATAAGTATCTATATTTATTTAAATATGTATATTTAAAATGAAATCGTGATTATATATATATTATATCTCGAAAATAATTAGAGCAAAAATTTTCTTATAAAAGAAATTAAGTATACAAACATATAAAATAAATTCTTGAATATTTATTACATTTAAGTTATTCAATTATTTTAGAATACAATTGTAACTGTAATCTAGAACATATAACTTTCACGTTAATTATCAAATTCGACTTTCATTCATTCTGTTTATCTTAAAAAATTCAACATTAAAACAAAATTCGTTCCCTTCTCTTTTCTAATCATCCTGCATCATCAACATGGATCATATGTTATAATGATGTTATAATAGAAGTCAAAATTATCAATCGAAATTCTTCAGAATAGATTTGTTCTTTCACAATACCGAAAGAAAGTAAAAATTCCGCTTACCGACCAATATCAGAGATAATCCAAATACCAAGAAAATAGCGGAAATTTTTTCGATTTTCATGGTTCCTCGTCGTCTACGATCTTCAGGATTGTTTCAATTTCGCAACGCAATAAAGTTGAGAGAGTATGTGAACGTTTTAAGATAAATTGAAGCCTCGCCGGCTGATTCCGTTGGCACGTATATAAGATCTTTACTTTTAAGGTCGTTGCACGATCATCGTATGATACTTGAACGAGAACCGATTTTCTTGAAAGGATGATCTTAACTTCACGCTCGATTTCTCGATTCTTCAATCCGACAGCTGGTAATGTTTCTTCCTTTCAAATTGAAACTGCTTTCGAATAATCTCGTTTGTTTATGAATTCTGTTTCTTCTGGTTGGTTACGTGTCGCTGTTTAATGTTCCATTGTGTCACTTGTGATTAATCTATTTATCGTTTTGAGTTATTGGCTAAGCAGTGACGATTGGTTCGTTTCAAATGGAATGATGATGATGAACGAATTATTGTAGATCAAGGGAGCGAAGTTAGAAATCGAGTTAAACTCGGGAATTAAGAGTAGATTTATTCGCTATCGATATACGAGAATGGTTTCTGATCAGCCTTTCCTCAACAGTATCTAGAATCTTACATATAAGTAAGTTTAAACTCTTGTTTATATTTATCTTATATTTATTAAAAAATATCACAGGCCATTTCCTATGGTAAAAATCTAATCTCTCGATCCCTTGATCTCTCTGATCCGTTATACATTTAATACAAAAGAAGATATAATTTATAACATTTAAAATAGTAATCCTTTTCTTTTCCTTTATGCCTCATAACAACAGAAGATTAAATGACTATTTTGAGTAAGGTGTTCATTTGGTACCAAGGTGTTTCACGTTTGAAAAATTTCAGTAATATAGGAGTAAACTATATATATATATATATATATATATGTGTAAAAAAAAAAAAAAAAAAAAAATAAAGCTTATTACTTAGATAGAAGAAATTATACTTTATTCTTGAAAAATATATTTACATATTTACACGTTGAAGTTTTACCACAACTACGATACCGTAATAAACTAGTTCATAATTTGATTGACATTTAAGGAAACGTTCTATTTGCTCACGAACAGATAACATTCTCGATATATAATTTTAATACAAACTAGATTCGTTCATTTCTTACTAAGAATTGGAAACTTACTTTATATATATATATATATATATACATATATATGTATATACCCATATTAAAATTCACTGAATATCATATTTATCGCTCATAAGAAGAGAAAATATTATTTTTTTTCGATGTCGTTAAATATTTAGAATTATGGGAAAATAGATGACTGCCCATAAAACAAAGAGAATCAATAGTATCAGCATAAGCTTGGAACGAAATTTGTCCCATCCGACTAAAATGTATTTGGGCCTTGCTTGAGTATCCTCTGCATCCAAAGAAGACTGAAACATAAAAAAAACTGTCATAAGAGATCAATGACAAATACAAATAATTTACGATCGCAATATTATTCTTTTTTTCGTTACATCATCATCGATTTCTTCGTTAGCTTGTAGCCTTTGTGTACTTAAATTTTCACGCATTTGGGTTGCTTTGCTCTGGGTGGGCTTCACTTTACTGTGTCCAGGCTTCGAACTTGATTTTTTGGCAGGTTGATGCGATTTCGAAGTTCCAGGATAATCAAAAGTTGTTAATTTAATTACGGTATTATCTACGTTTCGTAGTTTATTCGATTGTGCGATTTTTATTCCTGTAGCTTCTTTCTTCGATGATTCCTTCACCGCTGTATTTTCTTTTGTTTCGTCGCTTTCTGCAAATTATTTGAGTTAGTTGAAAAAAAAAAAAAAAGAAGAAGAAGAAGATGAAAAGAAATTATAAAATTTATTTTTCGAAGTTATGAAACGAGAAAAAAATATAATTATTCGATTGCTTAAATGATTCTTTGGAGAATTATTATTTTTTCATTTTTATTTACCTTTTCCAGGATCATCCTGCTTTGAAGATCCGGCCTGGCTATCTCGAATTTGAGAAAAGAAGCTATCCAAGTATCGCGCAATCGTCTTCTCGTTTTCCCGCTTCAGATTGCCGGCTAGGTATACTTTCTTCGGTGCATCTATCACGGAACTGACTAATTTAGATGTTGAACTTTATTCCTGATCGTCGAGCGAGGGTACTTGAACTCTATCTCTTGTGCTATCAAAAAGAAGAAAAAAAGATTAGATAATAAAATTAGATCTTTGTTCTTGATTTGAAATGAAAATTACTGTTTCCTTTTTAACACTTCTTTGTGGTAATAATGAGTCGATATTAATTCAGAGATTCGTATCTAATTTTATACGAATTATTTATCAAATCGGAATGAGAAATCTAAACGAAGAGGAGGAATCTAAATAAAGATCACTTATTGTACGTAAAAAAAAAAAAAAAAAAAAAAAAAAAAAGAAACAGACCTTAATTCGAAAAAGTAAGATAAATCTGTATTGCAAATTGGACAAAAATGCCTCTCCTTCGAGATACGGTATTCGAGTATATATACTCGAATCGAATTATCGGTTCAAATATAAACAGTTTTCATATCAAGATAGTCATGGTAAGTTTTAATTATCTGATAACATGGATCAATTTGATATAAACGTCCGTGGAACAGTCTTAACTCCGATATCCGTGCATATTAAATGCGGCAATGATTATTTCACATCGAATAAAATGTACTCTTTATTTTCATTCGTATTATTTTCATTGGGAGTAAAATGTCGAATTTTCGAATAATCTTACAATTTTACTTTACTTTTCTTTTCTAATTTTTACACTTTATCTAATTCTCGATAAATAATTAATTACACGTTTGTTAAACGTTGAAACTTCATAACCCTATCTCACTTCCATTCATCTTCCAACAGATAAACGTTCCTATTCGACGAACGAAATGATTATTCGGATTTGATGAAAAAAGAGAAAAAAAAGAAAGAAAAAGAAGAAGAAGAAAAAGAATTTCTTACGAAAATCGTGATATTTGCTTGTTGGAGAGCGAAAAAAAAAGAAAAGAAAATTTATAAACCTTTATTCTTACCTTGGTAAACATCGTAGCAGAGATCCAACGGACTTCGCATGACTCGGATAACGCGATATAAAATGTCAATTTGAAGATCGTTCGAGTCAGGTGCGAAACGCGGCCTCAAGATCGCGGGTCATTAAAGATGTTTTATCGTCCTTCGTCTCGTTCCTCGTTTCGAGAAATCCTCCCTGAGAATTCTGATCGTGGCCGTGCACCATGGACGGATCGTTGGTAAGAAAAAAAGACAAATTCTAGAGCGTCATATATTCGCGGATAACTTCGAGCAGAATTCCCGATAGCGTTCATCATCAGGTTGAGAGGGTAGCGATTATCAGCGTACAAATATAGTACATAGTTAATAATCTATGTTAAACTGTGTTATAATTGTCATATGAGAAAGCCTAGATGTAGAAGTATTATATCTTTAATAAAGTAGCACTTGTGCATATTTTTTATTGGTAATGGATAAAAAATCGATTTTGATAATATTTAATTGGAGAATAAAGCTTGATACACACTCAACGCCGTCATGGTACCGTCAGTCACACGCGTTCGCTCACGCGTTTAATCCAAAAAATTCGATCGATCGTGATTGATGATCGTGATTTTTTATCTTTTATGTGAATCAAGATCAATGGAAGAAAGGCTTATTGGCGTTTTCATGCAACTTTAACTTATTATTTTATTATCGCATAAGATTTTGATAATCATTCGTAAGTTCGATGCGTGGCATAGTGAGTTAATTTGTTTATTGTAATTTTCGATTTAAGTTTCTAAATTTTTAAATGATGTCCTTGGGTAAGATAAATTTTAGAAATGCAACAAAATTTTAAAATTTATTCAGTTTATTTAATCGCTTTTGTACAAATACTTAGTAAAAAAAAAATTATTAATACTAAATATTCGAATACCTTCTATCAAATAGAATATATTATAAACAATTTGTATATAATATTATAAATAGAAACATATATAATCAATGTAATACAATCGTGATTTTTGTAACAAAAATTTTGTAGACGAAGGAATATCCAATTTTATGAACGAATATTACAGGTACCATTCTCGTTATAATTTTATTTTTATGAACAGCGCCTTTTGTACGATCTTACAAAAATATCTTCAACTTTTCCTGTTTCAAATGTTTCAACACTGGGAATTTCATAGTCGTTGGACCGATGAAAGTTGGGGCAACCGTGCAAATAGAAGACAACTTTACGCAATCCCGATATTCAAACTCTCTGCTAATTTCTAAAAACTTTCTGCCCACAAAACAATGTACGTAATTTTTTTCATATTTTTCACTCATACTCGACAAACTAGCGAATTCTTCGACAAACATTCACGATCCACGATTTTGAGCATAGAATTTTTGTTCAAGGACGGATGGAAAATGGGAAATTCAATGAAACATCCATCGAACGAATCGATCAAAGACATCCACCAAATCATTTTCGGACAAAATTTCCATTTTTCTTTGTAATTCTTTTCAATCTTTTCTCAAATTTCGAAACCATTTTTTATCTGTGTTGCGTCCTTTTCAGCCTTGTATGTACAACAAACATTCCGTTCCCTTCGAAACGGAAGAGCATAAATCATTCAAGTTTCTCGACGTTCTCGATGTATTCAACAGTTCCACGCGACTCGTCGAATTCTTCACAAGATTTGATATTGGACGAGGAATGTGTAAACGATTACCCACAAGATCAAAGCAACGATCACAGAAATGAGAAAGATGGTCTTGAGAAAATGCCACGGGCTTTCCATCCGTGATTCTGCTCGACTTGCCCAACTCTTGCATCCACCGTTTTTGCAAGGAATGCTTCCTGGTTGCACAGGCGTCGAAGTCGCCACGTTGCTCGTTAACGGCATCACTTTTACCTCGCCTAATTCCGTTTCATCCGCGATCTGAACGTCCGTCTTCGTCAACTCGAACTTCGATGGACTTTCCATCTGAAATCATCGATGAATGATTCGAATGGTTGGTTAAATTTTTATCGAACAGAATTTGTTTGTTGCCAACAGATTACGTTGTAATACATAAAGTTAATATTGGAACAGTTGTTATTTTAATTCGATAAATTTAATTCGTTTTTTTTTTATTTCAGAAATAAGAAATTTGTAAGAGAAAAAGATGCTTTAAAAAAATATAGAAAATACTCGAAGAGTATTATAGTAATATTGTAATGATTCTTACTACGAGGAAATAATATATTTTCGATACTGATGAGGATTCTTTAGGAGAAAAAACGAGAAAAATTAAGATATTACGTGAAATAATCATAGCGCGCCAATAGAAAATTTGCAGAAGATTTGATTAAAAATGGGAAAAATTTATGTAAATAGCGATTCGATTTGTCTATTTATTGAATCGATTATATCTATGTGTAAATATTCTCTTCGATATTTCATTGGAAACTTCTAGATGAGAAAATTTGTATAAGAACTGGTGAATTCTATATTCTATATAGATAAGAATAAAAAAATAAGAAATTACGGAAAGATATTATATATTATCGCAAAAAAAAAAAAAAAAAATATCAATTCGACGATAAATTTTATTTCAGCCTGAATAAACATGTGTAACGTAATTTTAGATTCGACGTATAAAAACAGGTTAAACCAGATTGTCAACCACAGTTTCCTATTTTTCGAAACGAAAACATTATAAAACAGCTTATAAATTACAACACGATGAAAATCACTTTTTTTATTCTATATCTTGTATATCTGATGGAATATAATATATAATTGAACCGACATTTATTTCTCGAATAAAATTAAAAAAAGGATGGGAAAAAAAAGACATTGAATATTTATAAACATTAGGTGTGAGTAAACACCGCAAGCAGAATTCTTAATAAATCGAATCTCGTATGAAATTGACAACCAGCCTGACGATGCAGCTACTCCAAATTATCGATTATTTCGCAATCGTATTCAATTGTGCAGAGAAACGTACGTACCGCGTTCCCAAGGACTCTTATCAACGACATTCTTTGCTTTTTCAAGTATTGAATTCCCAATTCGAGAAAAAGGAGGGGAAAAAAGGAGGGGGGAGGAGAGGGGGATGAATAGATCTTGACACGATTGTTGGCTAGAAGGAAGGATGTGATAAGATTTCAAGATCTCTTTTTCTAGCATCGTAGAAATTTTTTTTCTAAGATTGATGAGACGTAATGACGAGGAGAAAAAACAGGAAAAGAGAAAAGAAGAAAAACGATATCGTTCGCGTGAAAATATGTAATCGATCGAAGGTCGCGAAGTGAACGCACTGAGATATTGAAAAGGTGAAAGGGGATGGAGTGGGGAAATTACATGTATCTCTGGAATCCGAATCTTGGAAGGAAATAAATCTTGTTCGGGCTTTGATCTCGTTCCATATACCAGGCCCATCATGCTGGTGACCTGGTTCAGATACGGATAATCCCATATGGATCCGGGTGATGGCACGATCACCATCTGTCAATGACATTACGGAATCGTTAAATTAATCGAATTTCGAAAACGTTTCCACATCGAATGATAAAATATTTAAGTATTATTATATTAACTATTTAAGTTAAATTAAGATGCATCAAATCAGACTTATCATGAATTTTATTAATTAAAGGCTAATCGGTATAATTATAATTGGCGATTAGAAGTGCAAAATTGTATTACATTCCATTGATTAATGGACAAATTTATGAACATTCTCCACGATTTTGTAAAATATAATTTTTTATTATGAATTTTATTCTTTAAATACTTTTGTGCAAAAAATTTTCGATAACTTTCACTTCAATTCTACCACTATTAAACCATGAACCAAATAAACGAAACAAAAATGAATGGAGTGGAATCTAAAAATAGTATTTTCGAAATAAACGTGAAAAGGTTGTATATAAATTGATCGGGTTAATGACTCGTCTGACCTTACCGTAAGAATAGTTTGCGTATAAATAATTTATTACATTTATTTATGACTTTGAGGAAAATTATTTTTAATTATTTTTTTCGTAGAAAGATTAAATCTAAATTTTATGATGAATATGTAATACATGTTCGTTATAGAAGACAAAAAAGGTAAAGGAAAAAAAAAAAAAAGAAAGAAAAACAAGATGTTCTTTAAGATAAAAATCGCGATTAGATCAGACACTCACGTTATTAAACGGGTATCCATATTTCCTAGTATGACAATTACCATCGCCGTTCATATTTATGACCAACTGGATGATGTTAGTCACATTATATCGCTATGTAAATCGCTGACAAAAAAAAAAAAAAAAAACTTGATGTAACAATATTATCGGAATGTTTAATCGATTTTTAAATTTTTTATTCTTCAAACACACGTTTCTGAGACGTTGAACCCGTTCGTTCGAGGCGAGAAAGATTGTAGTTTATTTGCGTGCGACACCGGAGGAACTGACTAGTTACGTCGAGTCGGGACTCATTATCAACCTTTATCAGTCCCGACCCCCTGATCTCTTATTATCGAACTACTCTCGTGTGAATGCCGATCAAACGCCACTAATCGGCTCATAAATCGTTTAGAGGAAGTTCGATGCTCATCGATATCATTTCTTTACGTTTCTTTCTACCTTTTTAAATAATATGATAAGTTAAAAAAAAAAAAAAAAGAGTAGCATCAATATTTTTATGATATGATAACGTCCGACATTAAAAAGATCAACGTTGTTTTTTAATTTTACTTAACCTTTTCATTTCAATAGCATTTATAACTTTTAATTTATTTAAATGTTATAATCAAAAGTTAAATTTTTTTAAAATTATTTTGATAAAGTTATCAAAGTTATTCGTTATTAATCATTCGTATAAAGTTGCGAGTATTAAAAGCTTAAGATGAAAATTCTAAATTTATAGATCGACACAATGATTTTCAAAAATATGAAAGATTCAAGATATATAGTGCTTTGAATAAAATATCAAAATTGAATAAAGTATATATAAAAAGAATTTCATGTTATTGAAGTGCGAGAATTGTTACGTGAGCAAATGCGCAACAATTCGAGGATGCACCAGCAATGATGATACGTACGATACCTTGCGTAATCTGGCGAGGCTCATGTTTTCAACAGGTAATCGCAAATCTCGTGAAGAAGAATCAAGAAATAGAAAAGCCGGATATAAAAATAAAATGTTGTTGTGAATGATCACATTGAAATTTAAATTCTATAAAATAAGAAAGTATTGCTCGATGACTGATACAACAACAAATTGAAGTTTGTTGAAGAATAATTCAGAAATTTTCTATACTTCTTTTCTTTTCTTTTCTTTTCTTTTTTTTTTTTTATTTCATCATTGATCGATTTCTTATTTTTTATTGATCCGACTTCATTGGTTATGAACTCCGAACTCAATGAACTCCGATTAATTATTAGAAATGAAATTTTTTTCGAACAAGAAGGTGAAAGTATGGTAAGGTTGTGTCTAAATCGACGAACGAAAGTAACTCGTTCTCAAAGAGGCACAAGGCTACCACTCAAACGACGAACAAGTGTACTTGTCGATGTTTAATGTTTTTGTGAATCGTTTTACTATCACACATAATCTTTTATATATATTTAATTTTCAGTGAAAGAACAAAGTGAAATAACAGAAAAACATTTTAAATATTGTATCGATTTCTTCTTCTCTAATTTCTTTCTTTTCTAATAAAACACGAATAAATAATTATCATAATGGTAATATAATTATAATTACCATTTTATAATTACCATTTTATTATTCGTAATTATGTATAGTATAAGATCGTTTACATAAACAAGTCGTTCATATTGAAAAAAACACTGTCATAATATTACTAAAAAATTAGAAACCTTGAATTTTGATAGTACTTAAAAATTAATTTGCATAAATTTAATTAATAGAGGTGTTCGATATGTTTTTATGTTTTTAAAAAAATATTATCCGAAGATTTCGTTGATCAAGCAAAGCGAGACCAGTTTCTATGGAATATATGTATTCTTACCTGTTGTAAATGCCAAGTGTGCTGAAAGAATTTCTTGAAACACTTCATGCTGATTGTGACATTTCCCCACGTTTGCCAATCATTGTATTATCACTACCACTCAATTATCTAGTTATTACCAGTCTATTCTTAATACACTTTACAATTCATGAATTGCTGCTCTTAACTAAAGATGACATATTTCTACATGACATACCTCTATATAATTAAATCATTTATTGACCATAAAATGAAATGAAAATCTTAAAATTTTTCGACACTTTGTTTTACCTTAAATATTGATTAATTTTGACATTTGCAACTGTTCCATATTTTAATTGTTATTTTAATAAATGATATCAATAGAAATTAAATAAAATTAAATAGAAGTATTTTATATAATGATGAAATAGTCAGATAAATATAAAGTGCAACTGCATCTATACGACAGAAAGACCGACAGGCGAAAGTTTTGAAGCGTACGCGACGGTTCGCGCTCGACAACTAATGAAGTTTGTGCCGATAGCGGTAGAAATTGTACGGAACGGTTAATGCTGCCTTAAATGTATTCATTCAGCGTACGCTTGTCACTTATAATATGTAAAGAAATAACAATATTGTTTCATACTGTTTTTTTCAGATAGCGAACAGAGATATCAGAGTCATAAATAATATAAGGTGATAATTTAGTATCGCAAATATCATAAATTATACAAAAATATGATATTAAAATAAAAAAAAAACTAAAAAAAGTTAATAAATATTAGAATATGAATAACTTTTTTTTATATGCATATAATGTATTTTTTAATATAATATATTTTTTAATATTAAATTATGGAAAAATATATATGAAATAAGATTATAAATAATGCCTATACAAAAAAATATAGGATAAAATATAATAAATTAAATATTTTTATTTTATTTTAACTGTATCGTATATATTAACACATCATATACATATCCTTTATAATTTTATATAAATTATAATATTAAAGAAAAAACAACTCAATAATTTCACTTGAAATTATGAATGAAAAACTATTTTTTAATTTCAAAATTATTAAACGAGAGTTTACTTATCTCTTTCTCATTACGAAATTCCGCTTTATCTATAGCTGATTGCGGACTTCCTGTATATCGTAACCAATTTTTCCTATAATAAAAATATATTGAACAAGAATAATCATTTAATGTATTTTAAAAATTTTTTAAACATTTTGAACTAAACTTACATTTCCTCTATTTTGTTTTTTTCTCCTTCGAGGTGACCTATAACTGTGCCTTTATCAGTATTCATACACCAACCTTTTAAACCTAACTCGTTACCATGTTTTTGAGTATACTGTATTAATAAAAACAATAAATTATTTAAGGTTAGTTTGAATATTTTACCGATAGGAAACTGATTTACCGATTCACAAATACAGACATAAGCATACGCATAAGCATTAAGCATTGATATAATTAAAAATACAAAAAATATTATCTTTTATTTTAAATTAAAAATACAAAAAACATTAGATGAATTTGATTTTCAATTTAAAATATCGATATGTATATTTATTCATTCTTAATAACTTTTTCACCTACCAGATGTCACTTCTATATCAAATTGTAAAATTTGCGATATTTCTTCGTGATTTGTATTAGTTAATAATTGTTAATTAATTCATATTACTTACCTTTCTGAAGAATACACCTTTAAGAAAGAGAATCTAAAATTAATACCATCATAATTTTGTTAAAATACAATATTCATTTACCTTGTACTCTTCCAAATATTTCGAAGTCAACACCGATTAATTGTACCATTATTGTATTGATATTTTGAGATGTTATCAATAATTATGTTGTAATGAAAACGAGAAAATAGAAAACAATAATCTCAAGATATATCTTCGTTAACATTCAATCATTATTTGGAAAAAAATCTGAATGTGCGTATGTTGATTTGTGAAACGTAATTGAGTAGATGTCGCTACTTAAGATTTTATCAGCTGTTCTAGCTAGTTAATAGCGGTATCCTTAGAAACCAATTTTTATATATTTTAAAGAATTAAACATAATTTGAATATTAAATAAATTTGATAAAAATGCGTAGTCAAATTTTTTAATAAGTCAAATTAAATTCAAATTGATTAACAGTAAAAATATTATTGTTTATTAAATGAAAATAAATCTTACGATAAAAAATATATTCAAAAAAATAATACGATTGTAAAATTAATTGAAAAAACAATTATAATGAATGTTTCAAAACTTTAAAAACAAACAAAATCTCAATGGATATTGAAATTGTATATTAAAGAAAATAAAAAATTTTAGAAAAATATAAATTTAAGTATAGTTCAATGTCATAAGATATTGACATGGAATGAATTCGGTAATTTCTTCTTTAAAAATTAAAAAATTAAAATTTATTTAACAATACAAATTATTAAACAAAATTTAATAATAAATTTATAATAACTGATAATATATTAAATTAAAATTAAAAATTAATTGATAGTTTTTTTATTTTATTAAAATTTAGTTTTTTTATTTAGAATTTTAGTATCTTTATTTTAGAACTATATATGGATCCGAATATCGGATTATAATGATAGATTATAATTAATTAATGCGATTAATTTGATAATTAATTTGATAAAACTTTTATTTTCGAAACAAATTATACATAAACTTCTGTCAAATTTAATAATATATGCTTCTAATTTGTTAATATATTAATGTCTTATGCAATCTATTAATATATTACAAAAATAAAATGGTTTATCTTATTATTATAATATCTTTCAAACAAATCAATTAAAAGCGTATTATAAGGATTAAATTATTTGTAAAATGTGATTGGTATTTTATTTGAATTTAAAAATTCAATTCGCATATCGGGAATTACTATCTCGAATCGACGCTAGTATTGGTCAATGTTCTGAAGCGCGCGCAGGAATATAACAGCAAAAAAGTCGCGAAGTATAGAGGCGTATAAGTTGTCCCCACCGTTGCGTCTACGTTCAGTCTCGGGCAACAGCTAAGACGTGGTGGTTGTGTTTATGTCATTCTTCTCCTTCCATACATGCGATTATTGTAACAAAATTTAACGAAAGTCCCTTCGTAGAGCCGGTGATCGATCGATCGTGTTATCAATATGTGCTGCGTATTTTATTCTACGTGTGCCTATTGTCTTGTCGATCTTTAAAACCTTTCGAATACAGCATTACTTCGTTCATACGATTCTGCGCTATGGTAGACAATCGCGTAGGATCAAATGCACGTCGTTTCAATACAAACATTTATGACATTTAATTAACAAAATTATCCTGTTGACGTGAGATCGTCGATCATTGGTTCGAATTGATACGAACATCGGACATACGCGATAATTCGTGTATCTGTGTACGAAAACGCGAAATACTAGTTCTGTGTCAGTCGATGAGGTTAGGCTGGCGTATTTACGCAACGAAAATTCGTGTCGTCGGTGTACGCGCACGCGATGCGGCTTTGACAGCACGTTCTATCTTCTTTTCTATATTACTGATCATACGTCACAGGACGGAACGCTCTGTGCAGTGCTTAACGCTGAATTTATTGTCATCGTCAGTGACGACTTTGACAGCGCATCATTCGAAGTGAGGTTAATTTGGAAGGTGTGTCGTGCGTGTGCGTGCTGTAGAGAAAAACAACACGGCAATAATACGATGACGGCGATGTTAGTATCTGTAGCGGAACTGTCGAACATTTTCTTCGTGCTTGCAGTCTCGATATGCTTTTGCGGAGTCTTCTTGTTTATTATCAGGTATTTACATCGTCGTATATTGTGCGTTGTTTTTTCTTAAACTGTATGTATCATTTAAGCATGTTATACAATATTTGCATACATTTTTAAAATTATTTAGAAACGTATTGTAAGAATTGATATGAATTCATTAATTTGCATTCTTTTTCATTTTATCATCTTTACGAAGAAAAACAGTTTCCTTTTATATATAAAGAGATCATAAATATTCGATATATCAAAATAAATAAGATATTCAGATATATATATATATATATATGTATAATTATAAAAATAAAAATTATATATATATATATATATATATCATTTTTATTTCTTTTATAATTGGTAAATATTTATTTGTTCATTTAAAATCATTCTTATATTTTCCATCTGTAATAGATATCAATTAAAGAATATTTTATAATTATATATATTTTATAAACAATAAACTTTTTACAATGAATGACATGATTGCATGATTGATTGCATGAAGTATTGTTATCAAATCGATAAATACTTGATATCATTTTACCAATATATAACATCTCAGATATTATAAATCAAATTCTCATCAATGAATATTACTAACTTAATAATTACCATAAGAAGATTTTTCCATATTTTTTCCTATATCCATTTTAATATTTTGCGTTTTTTAGAGATCACTTATTTAAAAAATTATTATATTAATTTTCAAAATTTAAAGAAAGAAAATTTGAGGTAGTTAGTGATATTTCATTATACAACATTTACAGCAATAAAAATTATTTATTATAATTGTGTGATATATTTAATAATTTTATATGATAGTTTTAATAAGAAGTTAGATATATTTTTTGTGATTTATTTATTATATTAAAATTTTTATTATATTGTTTTTAAAAAATAATTTTAATAATGAAATTAAATTCTGTTCTTTTTTTATTTGATTCAAGATGTTAAGGTTAAAATTTCATTTCTTATATTCCAAGGTAAAATCAATGGAATAAATGTTATTGTGAGAGGATCGTAAAAATAGTTGATAAATTAGCACTTTCAGTTTAGCAGTAAAAGTGTGCCATAGGATAGAGGACATAATAGTTAAGAACAGCTGTTTAAACACAGAAAATCATGAAAATTTTCATTCTTATGAGTAGTTTATATTAAAAAGTTATATGAAGTAGCTTAATTTTATCCAAAATATAAATTGAATTAAATATTTTTGGGAGAAAAAAAAAGAAGAAAATATTAGAACAATATTAAAATTATCAAAATTAATGACCAACGAAAGATTTGATTACAAATTTTTGCTTGCCAAAACTTATATCTTATATTCTTATGTTTTTTCGAAGAATGCAAAAAACAAAAGTTTTGTTTCCAAAATTAATTTTTGTAATCAGATTTAAAAATATATAATTCCAAAATTTTTTCATCTTTAATTGATTTAAAATATTCTGATAGATTTAAAATATTTTGATGAATAAATGATCTAGATAAAAATCATTATTATCATTATTATCATTATTAATCATGAAATTATATATACTTATTTTAAGAATAATTTTTTATTTTTTAAAGAAAAAAAATATGAAAAAGATGGAATATATTAATAATTAATTGATTTACTTTGAAACTAGAATTAATAATTTGTTTTGAAATTACAATCGGATCAGATGCATAATTTAATCACATACGTATACTTTTTTTCTGAAGAAAGAAAATATTTTTTGTTTAAAGAGCGAAAAATTTATATATTGCAAATTAATTTCTCATTTATTTTCGTATCAAAGTTCAAAATAATCAAATGAATCAATTGAATGGTAATATAAGATTAATTAAGTTACCCTTATTTCATCTATGATTAAACGAAAAAGTTCTTTGAATGTTAGATTTATATATTGCGTAATATATATTCTAATTCGTATACTCGAATCTATGCGTTATTACATTGCAACATCGATGATTTGCTAGTTTCGTCGGTCATTTGACTTTTTTTTTCTGAAAATGATTTCTGTGTACTTTCGTAGAAATTATGCAACTCGCTGGAGACGCTTGATCAAACCGTTATTATCTTGCGGTATTCGTTGTTGCTTGTTCAATGTATTATTTATACGTTGTTGGAAATAACAGACCAACTAAAAAATTACCGGAAAATTGTGAATCTTTATAGTATGTTTGAATAACAATATATTAACCGATTCAAAGAATATAAATAATGTTATTTTCTCAAATTTTTATCGTTGCATAGTCTCGAGTAATACCGATAATAAATCTTTATCACAAGAAAATGTAGGAATATTCTTGCCGATTTAATTATTCTTCGTTTGTTTATCGCAATAGTGCAAAGTTTATTAGATAATTTTGTCTTTGTTAATATTATTTTGATCAATTTACTAATTGTTATGAATCTCTTGACTCGTGATTTATCAAGATAGGAATTAGTATTTGATAAAAATAGATTCATTGAATTGCATTCAGTAATTAAATTTATTTTGAACGCTAATTTTAGTTCTAATTCATGAATAATTTACATAAATATCTGATAAATTATACATAAGATCAAGAGGTTATTGTGTAATGAAATTGAAATATAAAATTAAATAAATTTAAATATAAAATTAAATAAATTTAAATAAAATCGAAACGGAAGTCAAACCGAAAGTTGATCTTCCTCAAATTTCAATTGGAATAACTCTGAAATATCTAGTTGAATTAATGGCGGGCCCAAATCCAGAAGCCTTATGTCAATAAACCGTTAACACACTTACATGAAACGTGCGATTCACTTATTTGAAAAGAGAAAGCCGCGTTCTGAAATTTCAAAGCTGTACGGTTTACTTCTTTGCTTCGCCTAAAATAACTTGAAAACTGTACTTGAATTTTAAACGTCCTTTGAAACGAATCTCTCGTACATCATCTAACATTGTGTCTCTAAATTGATCAATTTTTCAGAAGCTCGTTAAGAAATATTTAAAATTATTTTAATAGAGAACGTCTTATGATTTCGATATTTTTTTTTTTTCTCTATTATACGCCAAAAAATAATTTACAGCAACGTTGATGTTACGTATACTGTGCTTATGTATGTTCTCATGGCCACGAGGTTATTGGCATATATGATCATTCGTATATTAATTCATTCCAAATCATGAATAACGTAGTCAATTCGATTATTTTAAATATCGAAAAACGTGATCGTAATTTTTCATTCCAGATATTTATCGTTATTTTTTATTCGAACGAGATCTATAAAAAATAAGACGTTAAATTCTTTTTTATCAAATTTATAATTAATATCATTTGTATCATGATGTATCATTAATAAAGGGAAAAAATTAGATGATGATTAGTACAATAATTATTTATAATCAAAAATCATTATTTTTATTAAATTTGTATAGTTTTCGAAACAAGAAGATAAATTTCTTTTTTTAAAGAAAAAAAGAATTAGAACGGAAGAGTTTTCTTTCAAAATTATTTTATCGTAAATTTTATCGCGTTCGATCTGTTGTATCATTTCGGGAAAAAAAGCAAAGAAAAGATGAGAAACTTATCAGAAACTGGTCGATACATAATTTTCAAAACCGTTAACTCGTACGTGCTGCTGAAAAAAAAATAGTATATACTGTTATTTCTCGAATCACCGAATCGTCTCGCGTTCAGGGTTTTGCATGCCTACACGTAGGACACTCTCGTTTTACATATGGACAGGATCTCCTGTGCCGAGAGTGAATTGAGCATTAATTGTTAACTCTAGAGAATAGATCAAACTTCAAATAGTGAATTATGAATGAATTACGTGGAACCACGGAATATCATTAGAATAATTAATGTTAATAATTACTTAACATTATTAATTTGTACATCTCGTTAATTATTTCCTTCATTCACGCCAAATTAATGTGTCATCCGTCAATTAGCAATTAAGAAAAGAAGAATATTAATTAGAACTAGAGTTTCTAAAGTTAGAGATTAACGTTGATTAACGTATACATTTTTGAAACTTTTTAGTTTGAAAGATTGGGAATTTTGAAAAATTTGAACATTGAAAAATTAGAGAATTTGAAATTTTTTAAATTTCGTTATTTTAAAGGATAAAAAAATTTGAAAATTGATTTTATCGACAAAGTAAAGCATCTATTATATAATAATTAAAATTGAAATTGAAATAACTAAAGATGATTAAACGAGGAACCTAATTTCTTTTTGCAGAAATATGATCGTACTTCGCATTCATGGCGACGAATTGATGTTTGGAGGGAGTGGAACTGTCATGACGCATTCGCCGCGTATACCTCAAATGGAAATGATGAAGGTCCATATTCCCTTCACCTTCAAGCTTCACGAAAGTTTCAAGAGCACTTACACCGGTGAGTTTTTCCCCAAAATATATTCCCCTTATTTCTCTTTTTTTCCCCCCCTTTCAATTCGCTTTTTTTCTATTCACTTCTTCCAATAAAATTTCCAAAGATTTTGGAGAAAATCGTCAAATTCACAATTTTTATTTTCATATAAATACAAATAGAAAATTGAAAATCGATATATTCCAACGCAATAATTAAAACATATAAACAGATACGCAATAATTCGATAAAATCCCATCTCATATATGCAAATACGGGGGAATACACGAATAGGTAATTGAATATTCAAACAATCGAATATATCTACAAAGGAATCGAAAACGTTCGATCAATTGAAATTCGAATCGTTTGTATGTCTCTTTAAGAATAAGGAGATATTCTATCTATCATCCATATGATTCATTATTCGTTTATTAACATTCTAATTAAAAACAACAACGATGGAAGAAAGAGAGGGAGGGAAAACTCGTTCCTTCGACAAACGGATCGGAGATCGTATCTCGTACAATTGACGGTATAAACGCATAGACGTGTCTCGCCTTTGTTTCGTCTAATTTTACGAGATTAGTATTCGTTAGCGTTTGAACGATCATCGATCAAAATTCACGCGTCGTTCGAACCCCCGTGAGGTTCGCTATAAGGAATATTCCTTTACGATTCTGTTACGTCTCTTTAGAAATCATATTTCTCCTGTTCACGAATCCGGCTATCTTCAACGATTCCTATTCCTTTAAGAAACGTTTTTTTCAAATTTCTCTCCTCTTCCACGAATACACATATCGGTTATATTTCGCAAGTTTTGTCGCCGGGTTTATTAACTTGAAAAGAATAGTAGGACACTCTTCGTATACGATTCGATCTGGTCGAAAGTAGGTTACAGACACGCGTGGAAGTGGAAGAAGAAGAAGAAAAAAAGAAGAAGAAGAAAAAGAACGATGATCTTCCACTTCGTAGTCGATTGTCGTAATTGGCATGCAGGTGTGAAAGCACCCAAAGTTACGAAACGTTACCTTGACCGCTTGGCCAGGTCATTGTGAATCATTTAATCGGAGAATAATTGATCCCGAATATCGGATTCGAATCTCTCTCACGTGATGTTTTTATTTATTTACTTATTTTTTTTTTATTAAAAATCACTGCGCTTATTATCCAAAACTACGTTTTACTGTTAAATATGTATTAAATGTTAAATAATTACAATGCTTTATGGAAACTGTTACACAGATCAGAAACGTAATGCGTTTCTTCATCATTCGAGTAATCATAATTTATTATACTAATTTGTTTTTCAAACTTTACAAACTCTGAAAAATTTAATTCGAAAAATAAATAATTACCAAATCGAAGCTTTTTAAAGAATTTTAAAAAATGAAAGTATGGCGCAACAGTTTAATTCTCCGCACATTAATTCTATTTCATTAAAAACTAATATATTTTTTAATATTCTTATTGTGAAACATCTCTTCCACTAGTAATTTACATTTACATTTGATTACATTGGATTGATACGCATAGGAAAGAATACACCGAGCGAAATATACGTTAGGTATATATGCAAATGCTTACACATCGTATTGTGCCGGGTAAAAACTATCTTCTCCCTCCGTGATCACGTTTTATTATGCCACGGTTGATTTATGCTCGACACTCGACGACCTTCGATAAATTCATTAAACCACGCGTATTCATGGGATAGCGAGCGTATTTGTTAGGGTTTGCCCCTGTTAACCTTGTGGGTGTGCCTTGGGATTTTATTCGAACGGTGCCACGGACTAGGCCACGAGCACGCGTTTCGTTTTTAATGAAAAATCGATTAATCATAATGATTAGTACAATTGATAGTATCAAAATATCAAAATTAATTTCCGACGAAATTTTTTTACTTTTCCAAGAAATAGACTTTGGATCGAGAGAAATTACAAAACTCATCTTTGAGTATCAATTATTAATTTATCAGGATGAAATTTTTATTGCTTGCCTATCTATAGATAGGCAGAGAAATGGACGTTGATCGAAAAGAGATAATGTCGTTTGAAAAATTATAAATGACATAGCGAAATTGATAATTTGCCTGATCTTCAAAATGCAAATTATCAATTAACTTTGTGAAATGAAAATTATTTAATGGATGGATATCATCTTTTACAAATTATTCCATGGTATCATCGTGCGATCTATTGCACAGAGAAAAAGGTATATACAAGATATTCTCTTTTGTTGATTCGTAATGACGGAGAACCGTGAGAAACAACTCGTGGAAACGATGGATTTTTCCGGAGGTGGAGGTTACAAGGGCAGAGTATTTTTGAATTCCAGGCCCGTAGGCACAAAGGTGACCATGTAAAAGTGTGAGGGTCGGTCTGCAGAGGTTCAGTCTCGTTCATCGAGGACAGCATTCATATGTTCGAATAAACGAATGTTACGTAAGTTACGTGACAATAGACGAAACAATCAATCCAGGCATCGTTAATAAATCAACACCATCGATTATTATGATACAGACATCTCTCATCTTTGATAATTATCTAAATAGGATTCCTCGTTTCTTTCGTTAACGTGTTACGATAAAATAGCTTATTAATCGAGATGCTGTTGTAATACTTAATGATTATCATAAAAGATAGAATCAAAGAATTTGAACGATGCATGGCAAATGATGTTTATCGATACCTCTTATCTATTCAAATAATAGATGAATAATAGATGAATAATATGGAAATGTTGTTCGAATCGATGGTTACCGCATAATATAATATAATACTTATCGTATAAACAAAATATATTTAATAGAATTTAATGGAGATTTCAATATTAAAAATTCAAAGAGTACTGTAACAAAGTTGAAAGCAGAATATCTATCTTTCCTATCGATTAACATTTGATCTTTTCCTTTTTTTCCTCTTCGAAAACGGAAGAATCAAGAAGAATCGTACAAGAACTATACAATACTAAATTTAAACGAATTTTGTATTTCGCAAAAAACAAAAAGAAAAAAAAGCAAAAGTTTAAATTTTCAATCGAGTCCATTCGATTGATAATAAAGATCGGTTAGAGAGGAACGATGCCCTTGGTACTACAAAAATTCTCAGAAATCTTTTCTCATGGATCGACCGATCATTGATCGACGTTATGCGTGTCAAGTTCACCGACTCGTTCGAAAACTTACTTAACAAGCGCGTTACGAGATATAATAGACGAAGGCGAGGCGAAAGTGAACAAATCGAAAGCTCATTCACGTAGCCTGGTAGCATTTTACCGTGCAAATATTACATCTGCCTGAGTGTGTAGGTGAATTATAGGTGAACATCGGAGAGCATTCCTGGCCTCGTTGTGCAACATTGTAATCGCGATTGGATCGAGAGAGAGAAGAGCTTGTGGTCCAGGTTACGAAAGGTTAGCCGACCGGTGACGTAACCGTGGTGAGTCGATTGCAAGATTCCTTCGACGAGAGAAATACTTTTATAGTTGACTGTCTGAGACTGGCTCGAGACGGGATCCTCTAGCCCTCTTTTTAGTCGTTTGTTAAATGGTATTATCGTTTTCGAAACGAACTCCATCGAAAAGAACACTCCATCGATAATTAATGCCGCGAGACGAATCACTTGTTGCTTGCTTGCTAAACTACAATCTTTTGTTGGATTGTATTTTAAATTCTTTTGTTTTTCGTTCTTCTTCTTTTTTTTTTTTTTCCTTCTCCCTCCATTCTTTTTTACGCCCTTGAATATCACGGATGAGGTAATATGCAGCTAGTCAGAAACATTTTCATGTACCTTGTGCAAGTTTCTTTTTTTTTTNTTTTTTTTTTTTTTTTTTTTTTTTTTTGTATCCTTGAATATTTCAGACGAGATAATGGGCTACAAGCAATCAGTCGTTTAAAAATCTTCGTATGATTTATGTATAGACGTTTTCATTTCGAAAATCGAAATTTTCGCAATTTCTTACCGAATCTCTTTGTAAAATAGCATACGAAGATTATCGTGATTAGCTGTGTGTATGTATTTTTATGGTAATGATAAAAACACATAAAATATAAAAATTTAGCTATGAATAAACTTGTAAACCTTGTTCTTGTTCTTGAATCCCAATATGAGTCAAACAACCTTGTCCCCATATTGTTTGATAAGTTAGAAGGAATAAATTTGGAGGACATTTTCATGAATCATCGACATCTATAAAATAATATTAAAGTTATTCTTTTTTTTTTTTTTTTTTTTTTTTTTTATTATTATTATTTGTTTGCTCCTAGTTTAGAAACGTGAACGAGGTGAATACGAATCGAACGATAAAAAAAGTTATCGAACTCGCAATTTATCTTAGGATTATCAAGGTGTTTCTTGATTAATTCAATACACGATCTATCTTTCCTTCATTTGTTATTCATCTTTCTATATATGTATGCATATATTCTTAAGAACCAGTTCTAATATCATACGAACGTGACACTTATGATTTTATTACACGTATTCAAATATGATATCGTTATTGGAAAACTATGCCGTATATGATTATAACTAACATTTCTATCCATCGCGTAAAAGTATTCTTGTTTTCCTCTTCTTTCGTGTCATCTTTTTCCTGTGTTTTCATTCTAAACATTTTTCGCGTCTCTCTCTCTCTCTCTCTCTTTCTCTTTTTCCTTCTTCATCTTATTAAAGTAGGAAAACAATAAATAAAAAAAAATTCCGTGATTATCATTATTGAAAAATGACGCGTTACGTTACGTGTTAGAATAATAGATGTATTACAAACTCATTATACAAATCAGAGACAAAATATCTTCGTAATAATAATAATAATAATAATAATAATAATAATATAATAATAATAATAAAATAATTGAATCATCAGAAAATAAAACTTCGCGTCGATTTTAATCCGTCTTAACAATTTGCTTAACACGTTGTTTGCAAAAATTTGATATTATAAAATTTCACAAAAGAAATTTTTTTTTGGAAACTAAGAACAAAATTAATTACGCAAATATAATATACTTTTTCTAATCATCA